CATGCAACTATAAACAAATTAATAGTGTAGATAAAGTAATATAAAATAATTACTATAATACAGTAATAAAGCAAATATTAAGTATATATCTGGATAGGCTTGTTTAAATAATAAAGATAGGTTTTATCAGGCTTCTAAAACAGTGTAATGTGAATGCTTATCTAATGGTCAGTAGGTTGCATAGCTTACCTCTGTTGTAAAGAACATTGTGAACTCCAACACACATCAGCTCCAGCCAGCATGGAGAATGATCAGCGATGATGGGAGTTTTAGACCAACATCTTGAAGACCAACATCTTAAAGGAAGAACAGCACTGATGTGCATTGTTGACAAATATATGGATGGAGTGATGAATACTGGACAATTTCAGAAGGTAAGACTCTTTAATTAACCTGGCATTTGTATCGATTGCCTGGCTCATTGTAGAAGAGCATGTGAAATCTCATTTTCATAATGCAATACTCATGAATGCACCCGAAGTCTATTTCCTTGCTGTGTCCATAGCTAATTTCATTCGCTAAAACCTGCTGCATATTTCAGCAGCAGGGAAGGTTGCCACTCTATACATGTGCGTAACCACAGCACATTAATTAAAGACTTGCTGTGAAATGAGTTACACAAATGCAGAATTCCTCATATAATTTAGCATATATTAGGACGTACCATTTTGTGGCGTGCTGGAAATAACATCACCTGGCATAATGGTTAAAAGATTTACATTTAAATCCAAAATTATTGTGATCATGGAAACTGCTGTTGACTACATAGTTCTCCAAAAAATGAGGAAATGTGCAAAAGTTTGCATGATCAATGCATTGTTACGGGAGTCTTTCACAAATGGTGCCCTCTGGGTGCTTTAGGCTACAACTTCCACCAGCCCCAGCCAACATGAGTTGTGGTCCACAGCATCTGGAGGGCACCAGGTTGCAAGAGGCTGTTTTAGAACATGGCCAGTAACTATGGTACAGGTAAATAGTGATATCAAAGATGAATATATGCTAGGCCCATGGTACTCAAATCTTTTGAGTGACCACGGTATGCAACAATTCTTTTTTATCATCTTTTAACTAATGCATTAGTAGAGTTTCTCCAGGTCAGCAAGGTTGGAGCTTTGGCAGTGAAGCAGCCCAGAATGGGAGTTTATCTAGGAGCTGGCGGTTCCAACTTTTCCTGACTTTAAAAGACAGACTCTAAATCCAGGAAAGTCTGCCATGTACTTCTCAGTAGCAACTAGCCTGGCACCTCAGTGGTAGCTCTGAAGCTTTTGTGTGGCTCGCTGTCTCCTCTGCTCCTGTGGCACTTAGGAAGAGGAGGGCAGGCCTGAGAACTGGCCAAGAACCCAGGCAGCTGATATAGGGACCTCTAGCCCCGAGCCAGGGTTGTACCAATCTGATTGCTCTTCAAGGTCATTGATGAGGAGGAAAATCTATTTCTTGCAAATTAAGAGATCACTATTCATCAAAAAAGGCATTGCAGAGCTGAGCAGGACTATTTTTGGAGGCGTTTCCTGAAATGATTTTTCCTGTGGTGCTTTCCTTCATTTTTCACTCATTTCCTAACAGGCTGAGAGGGCACATGAAACAATCACCTTTCAATATGTGCTTTGCAGTCAAGCAACCACAACTTCATCGTATCTGAGGCTGTAGAAAATTGAATTAAGTGCTTCAGTAGCTGCTAAAATGCTTAAAGTTGTAAGTACATGTATAGTGGGGGTTAAGTGTTATTTAAGGAAAATCCTAATGAATCAATGATGGGGGTATAATTGCAGTGCTTTTGGGCTAGTAATGTTCTTCTAGTCAGCCCCTCAACTGTGGAACTGAAACATATAGGGCACTTAATCTTTTTCTAACAAATAGGCAGTTCTGAAGCATGTGGGTAGACTGGACCATATACATACCTTCCATGGATGCATCAAAGACCTTGATAGAGTATATCCCATTCTGATGTTTATATAGCAAATAATCTTGTGAATTGGGATACTGCTGTGCTACTAAGGTAACATGGAACTGCACATAGGTGCTAGATTTTTTTTGTCGTAAGTGACTTTATGAAGATTTAACATTCACCTATAAATGACCTGAAACAAAGTTTGTTGTAATTCACATGCAGAACTGCTAATAGCCTTGGATGTCTGCTGGGACCACTACTGACTCCTACCCTGCCCTGGGTTTCCTTTCGCCTGCGACTCCAGTTTGAAGAACGTTGCGACAGCCAACTTGGAGATCTTCCATGCTCTAGACTGGTGCTATGTCACTGTTGGAAATAAACAGTACTGCTTACTGCTGCCAGGTAAGTCCACAGGACTGGCAGGCATTGATGTAGGAAGGGGCTCACCAGAAATTACTTTGTCAAGGACCTTCTCAAACCTGAGGCAGCCTTTCTCAGGTTACAATGCTGTGGTCATTTACCTGGGAGTCAGCTCCACTGAACTTAATTGAAGTTTACTGTAAATCCTACTGAAAGCAGTAAGATGAGTTAGTTGCGAGTGACAAATGCAGAGCTTTCTTTCGGCTGGAACTCACTGGAACTCAATTCCGGCACCTCTTAGACGGGCACCATTCCCATTATGCCATTATAAGAGAATGAGTTCTGGCACCTCTTTTTCTAGAAAAATAGCACTGGACAAATATTTCGGTGAGATGCAGGAATGACAATTTCTATGAATGCCAAATGGTCCTCAAGCTTCAGTTTGCGAGTGTTATTCAGAGACCTCAGTGTTTGGTTACAGACTTAGGAAGGAAAGTTAAACATAGCCCTGCAACACCCTGCCTGCCGCAGTTTAAAGTTTGTCTCGTGTAATTTATTCATTTTGCAAACATAAAAAGAGAATACTAAAATGGAGCTCAATGTTTAGCGATTTATTGTCAGCGGCTGCAGTTTCTGTATGGCTCAAACAGGCAACAATAAACTTTCAAAAACAGGCAATTCTCCCTCCCTCCCCAAGAAGGCGTGCTAAATTCCCCAAATCAAGCTCCCACTGTGGACTTGGATAACAATACAATACTGGATTTTGTTCCTATAATTTGTTTTATAGAAAACATCTGGCTTTCCCCTCCCTCAGGTCCCTCTTTTGTTGTTATTTTTGCACTAAAAAGGAACAGAAAATGGTAAAGGGGTTGATGCATTCTTCTTTAGCATGTGCAGTCCAGGAAGATAAAAGGAATATAAAAAAAGAAGACTGGCACATCTAGGAAAGCAGGACTTGGCTCCAGTTCAGGTTAGTCCAAAATCACGTTATCAGTTTAAAGAACTGCGACCAGTTTGTTTGTTGCTTGAGTAGCAAGTAGAAGAACGCCATTATGCAGGGTTGCCCAAATCAAGTACACGCTTCCTTCTTTTGCCAGTGGTGAACGATGAATGGTGCTCATGTATGAAGTAATCCTATGATTCAGGCTCCATGACTTAAAATAGATTGCTTACTTGTGTCTTTTGAATGGTGGTCTGTGCAGTCACAATTACAGGATCTGCATCTGTGCACAGAAACTTCTAGAGCAGGGGTCAGCAAAGTTTTTGTGGCTTGGGCCAGTTCATGGTCCAGGAGACGCCGCGGTGGGACGGAGTGTGCGCGCATGCATGCACGCATGTGTAAACGCTATTTCCGGCGCAGAGGAGGCATGTGCAGCCTTCTGTTGGCTGCAGGAGCTTCCTGCAACCAATGGGAAGCCAGCCAGCATTGTGGAAGGCGGTCCCCGAGCGGGCGGTGGGGGTCCATGGGCTGGTTAAATGACCCCCCATGGGCCGCTTGTGGCCCGTGGGCCTTAGGTTGCCAACCCCTGTTCTACAGCTTAAGCCAGGGAACTGGCACTCACTTCTCCTTCCAAGAATGGAAAGATGCCCATGAGGCAGGCATCTTCCATTGCTGTTAGACAAGAGGGGCACCAGCAGCAGGGGAGGATGCAGTGCAGTGCTTTGTGTGCTTACTCAGAAATAGGTTGGATTGAATCCCATGGGACTTATTCCATGTTGTGCACTGTAAATAAAACAGGGATGGGGAACCTCTTGTCCTGCAGGCCAAATTTGGCCTCCCCATTGGGTCAGCAAAGTCACTTTGGCCAAGGCACATGCACCAGTCTTACACAGCAGCTAAGGGCAGGGCTTGGCTGAAAAGGGCCTTTTGACACTCAACTGATAGTTGGGCATTTAGTCCTGGACTGTGGCAGGTGTCAATCACATGCCACTGTGGCATCAGATGATTGACAGGGCCCACCTGCCTGCCGAAGTTGGCAAGGGGAAGTGGGCAGGAGATAAAGATCTGGCCCATAGGGCCAAAAAGTTCCTACCCCTGCCTTAAAAATTGTGACACATGATTAGAAACCAATACTTTCAATATTTGGTGTTTATATATCTCCACATGCATTGTGGAGAGCATAGCAGAAAGAGCATGTTTCAACTGGACACAGTGACACAAAATTAGGTCATGATAACCTGGAGTCATTATCTTGCAAAATACAGTTGCATATTGAATAGAGATTACTATTTGTTATGGCAAGGCGATCTTGAATGCCAGCTGGAAGAAACCGGTATTTTAACTCAGAAGGGGGATGCTAAGTGGGTACAGCTGCAGATAACAGCAATTATAGTTAAAATCAGGCTACCCTCCCCAAAAGGTCAGAGCTACAGGTAAAGCTGTGCCAGAATGGTTCACATGTGGACTAAATGGAAGGTCTTTCTCTTAACATAAAGGATATGATGCAGAAAGGTCTTAAGGAAATTTGTGCAGTAAATCTTGTTTAGAAGTGTTTTAGATTACCTATGCAGTGCTTTCATCCTCTCAGGGATTTCCTCAGAATCTTGGTAAATTAATTCAGAATATGTTCAGTTTAGCTGTGTGCCTAGCAGAGTACTGAACCAACAGAATCACCCCACCCCCAAATCCTAAACAATTTAACATCAGTTTTTTATGGAACATTCTTTTAAGCAAGGGTAGTGAAAAGTCTGTTATCTGAAAACACCAATCTGTTTGCAGAGGGAAAGAAAGGAGGAGACGCACCACACACTGTTTACAGTACAAATATTCATTTCTAAAAGAACAAATTTAACAGTATTCCTTCCATAAAGAAATAAAAGCGCAGACAGTTTCTCACATTCACATAATCATCATATATACAAAAATGCTGTGCTTGTGTAGAAATGTCTTTCCTGCATCCTCAGCTAGTTTATTCTCCAGAGAAGTGGCTCCTATCATCTATGAATCTTGCTTCCATGAAGAGTTACAAATACTGTTTTATTATGAAAGTGATTTAGGTTTTGCACAGCTGTTTTCAGAGGGAACTACTGTGCATCTTGTTAGACAGAACTGCTCTAACACTGACTGCCCCAGAAACCAAACATTATAATAACAGTAGAAAGAATAAAGTCAAAATTCAGTAATCCCAAAACCTCCTTGCCTGGCCAGGCTTAAATATCTCTTCCCATGCTATCAAGGCTCATATGAAATGATTTATCCATCGTGGAACAAGGGGCAGCATTTCTTTGTTTGCTTATATCTTGAACAAATTATTCTAAGTACTTTTTTGTCTATAAAAAAAAGCACAAGCAGTGGGTGGTGGCTGAATTTCATATAAAAAGAAGAAAAGTCATGTGAGAAAGATCATTTAAATGTACCACCCTTCCTCTTTTGGACATTAAAGCATAAATAACACTCTCTTTTTGGCAGAGTGTTTTAAACCCTCCTATATGCCCTAGGCAGAATCCGAATCAGCCTTATTCACGAGAGAAATATCAGTGTGGTCCTCTTCAGAAGTCAAGTCTAACCCTCCAACTTAAGAATCACTAGCTCCATATGTGATGGAATAGAATTCCTTTGAGGGGCTTAAACATTTCAGTGCCCTCACAACTCAGCCTGCCACCATTTTCAGATGTCCCTTGGGTGCCTGTTCAGACTGTCTCCAACATTATTACAAAATGGCACTAGCTGTATTGGCAACAGCAACAAACCACAACACTTGATGTTGTTTTCTTTTGCTGAGTCTTCAGAATTAGCAGACCCAGAATCCCCATTTGTCCCTTGGTGATCAATTCTACCCCTCACGATGGGGCTACACTTGCACTGCGCAGCAGACTCTTCCGTCCTGTAAGGACCCGACCTTCCAAGTTCTTGGCCTTTAGCAGTGGAGTTGGAAATGCTGTGGCCTGGATCACCCTGAACAAATACCTACAGTATAAGGAAGGATTCAAATAAGCTGTGTAGGCATGGATTAAAGTTGGTTTGGCAAAGGGCCTCCTGTAAAAAGGTATTATTCTCAACAGTGTGCTCTTATTAACCAGGTGGTAATAAAGCTCTTTCCCTCCCTCCCACCTTTATCTCAACCAATTAGGGAAAGGATTTGGGTTACCAAAAAGAATTACTTAAGTTTGTCCTAACAAATGTATCACACTGAAACCAATGCCGAACTGAATGTTAGAGAATGGTTTAAGGATTATGGATGTAGGCAAAGTTTATATTCTAACTCAGGCATCCCCAACCTTCGGCCCGCCAGATGTTTTGGACTACAATTCCCATCATCCCTGATCACTGGTCCTGCTAGCTAGGGATCATGGGAGTTGTAGGCTAAAACATCTGGAGGGCCGCAGGTTGAGGATGCCTGTTCTAACTCTAGCCAAAAAAAAGCTCATGTTGGCAACAGCAACACAGAGATCCTATGGTGTTACAATAGGGTTGCCATATTTCAGAAAGGTTGTTGAACTCTTTTAGATGTTATTGAGCTATTTTTAAGGAAAATCACCAAAAATGACACTGTCTGTGTGGGTTGCCATACATTCGGATTTTCCTGGGCATTTCAGCAATTTCTGTCTGGACACTGCTTCCAACTGCAGTATTCTGGACATGTCCTGGAAATTCCGGACATATGGCAACCCTGGTTACAATGGCACTGTGCTGTTACAGTGGCCTTGGGCATGGGGAAGCCCGTGTTCAAACCTCAAATCAGCTATGAATCTCAACAGTGGCATTTAGCCACCTCCGCTGCCTCACAGGCTTGCTATGACAATAGATCACTTCTTCAAGTTCTTTAGAGGAACTGCGGGGTAAAAATGTAATATAATAGAAAACCAGCAGGACAAAATCCCAATTACCCCCAAACTCCTCCTGACTTAAGTGTTCAGAGCCCAAGGTGGCAAAATCTGAAACTGCCCTGAACTCAATATTCAGCTTTTAAGGAGATGTCTGAACTAATGTTACACACTATTTAACCATTTTGACCAGAAACTTGAAAAAAGTGGGTGGGTGGGTGTGTTCCCTTTATAAAATTTAGTTCTTAGAATCCAAACTACGAAGATACTAAAAAATTGATGGGAAAGTGCTGTAATTTATTACCCTGGATATTTTGGGCAATAATTTCAGAGTCCAGGGTATTCTGTATTGGAGACACTAACCTATTTCCCAATGAGGTGATAAAATGTCTGGGTAGTACCGCTTTAGCCTACAAGTGGAGGTCATGCAGCAGAATGTTTCCCCAAGGGAGGAAGACATTTCTCCCTTGGGGAAAACAAGCCTATCAAAAGCCTTGATGGGCTAGAACTATTCTTCTTAACATCTACTTTTCTTTATGGAATGATTTTGGGGAGGTCGGGATAATTCAATTATGTGAGCTCCCACTTGGAGTCTGAAGTGGTACAGTCCAGACCTGCGTTTACCACGCCAATGAGACTTAGACCTAAAGTGAAGAATGACCTCTTTTTCCTTGATTCAGCATAGCTTTTCTACAATGGTCAATAAATCTTTAGTACCGCTAAGGTTTTTTTTGCAGTGAACAAGTAAAAATGTAAAGCGTGAACGTTACATGTGTTCTCCAACATGTGTTTGTATCATATGCAGCAGATAGACAGAATTAGCTGCAATTTCCTACTGACTTTACGTACAGGTTTGTTGCTCTGTCACATGTGACAGAAGAATCACAGCAACAATGAATTTCTATCTTGGCAACAATGAATTTCAATGCTTGGTTCCAAACCAATAAAATACCTTGGAAGAAGAGCCAAAAGAGTTGCAAGTATGCACACCAGATAAAACCTTGGAGTAGACAAATGTTTCTGAATTATCCAATATGGATTGGCTGGTGGGTTGCAGAGGACGCAGGTAGCTCCAAAGGTCCCAATAATGCTGAAGAACAGGAAGACGCTACCAGCTAGAACAGAGAAGTGTGCCACATTCTGAAATTAAAAAACAACAACACACACCACAGAAGAACAAACGGAGTGAGACAGAATCTGCTTCTATTTCTGAAGAACTGAAAGGCAGTGGTACGAGCTCAGAGAATCACATATTCATTCACCATTCCAAACTAGCATTGTTTCCATGGTTCTTAGCCCCTAATGTTTAAGGGTGGGCTCAGGTAACTGTGCTGCAGGGCAGCTGCTTGAAAGGTCACTGTGTGGCACCTGTTAACTGGGGAAGCAGTTGTCTGAAGACTCCACCCATGCAGTTAAGCTGAGGGCTAACCCCGCTTTGCTTCTCCAGATTCCCAAGTAGCCATGGGTGGATGGCCTTAATGTGAACAAAGGCTGCAAGCAGCTTCTTCTGATTTGAGGAAGGTCCCATATATTACCCATCAAAGTTCCCACTTGTTACATGGCCAGGCCCAACGGGGTGGGGGAGGCATGCTGCTCACTGAGGTCCAGCTCCGAGGGCCTTCTGGCGGTTCCCTCCCTGCGAGAAGCCAAGTTACAGAGAACTAGGCAGAGGGCCTTCTCGGTAGTGGCGTCCGCCCTGTGGAATGCCCTCCCACCAGATGTCAAAGAGAACACCAACTACCAGACTTTTAGAAGACATCTGACGGCAGCCCTGTTTAGGGAAGCTTTTAATGTTTAATAGATTATTGTATTTTAATGTTCTGTTGGAAGCCGCTCACAGTGGCTGGGGAAACCCAGCCAGATGGGCGGGGTATAAATAATAAATTATTATTATTATTATTATTATTATTATTATTATTATTAGTGGCAGCTCATTCTCTGCTAAGACAGAAAGGGTGGCTTCATTGCTCTTGCTGTGGCCGCCCAGGTCTATTCATTGGCCTTTTCTTCATAGCGCTGGCTGGCCTACAGTGCCCTGACAGAAGCCAAGACCCAGGAGATGCCACAGCCCTTTGCCGCTGCCTTGGCCCAGCAGCACCCTTAGATTAAGGGAGGCTGAGGATGTTCCAAGGAGATTCCCCTCTTCTTCACCCACTGGGAAGTTCTTTCACTAGGGTTCTTTCTTAACCCTACCTCTCTCTGTTGGGATTCACAAAAAGGACAGGTCTAAAATAGAGGAGCTAGAAAGAAGTTCATCAGGCTTGTTAATGTGGGAAATAATCTTGCACCCCCCCCCAATTCCCCCCCCCCATGCTTTATTAGGTAAGCAAAGGGTTAAGACACAGGGCGTTTCCCTTTAAATTCCTAGAAAGGGCAGTCTGGAAAGTCATATCCTCTGCTTGCCCTGGCAGGAAAATAATCCTTGCTACCTCCTCCCTTCTCAGTGTTCAGTCTCCTTTTCTGCAGTAATAAGAGGCAGCTATTCAGCCACCCCAGTTTCTGTCTCTCTCCTCTGCTGCCATTTAAAAACAATAATTTTAGTTAATTTGGGCAAGAATTTCTGTTACAAAAAGCACTGCCCTCGTTATGACATCATTACTAATACTCTCTAATGCAGGTGTGGGTGGGAAACTTCTGACACTCTTGCTGAACTACAACAACTCCCATCATCCCTGGCCATTCTTGCAGAGGCTGATGTGAGCTATAGTACAGCAACATCTGAAGGGCCAAAGATTCCCCACACTTGCTCTAAAGGTAGGGATATGGTTCAGAGGGGAAACTTGCAGATGGGACAAGCTGGCTTCTGAGGAGTAAATTAGCAATTAGTTCCCTGCCTCCCTCTCTCTTCCTTTTTCTCAGGGTTCTTCACAGGGTTCTCAGGGTTTTTCACAGGTTCTGCTCAAAAGAACTGGGAGGCAGAGGGATGACATGTTGGGCAAGAAAAGACTTCACCTTGGGTGTGTATGTATGAATACTCTGTATCCAATAAATTTAGAGAGAAACATGGAGAGTGGAAACTTCAAACTCTACTCCCACCAAGGTTCCTGCAGGAGCTTTGCTTCGCGTTTTGTGAAAGGAAGTGAAGGCCTGTCACTTGCCTGGAACTAACTACCCTAACTGATCGTGTTCAGCTTTCACCCTGAACACTCATTCATGTGAAGGGAACTCACCAACAAATGTTAAAGAATGGACCCTATGGGGTGAGGTGCAAGACAGCTCATGTCCTCAATACTGGCATAAAGGAAGGAAAACACTTTTGGTAAGAGTTGGTTTGATTCTCACGTTAGTTTTGGACACGGCAACATCAAGATGCTTTTTATCGTGTCCATTTAACATGTCAAATGCTATGCACTCACACGGTTAGAATGGGTATCTATCTCATCAACTACCGAAGACTGCTGTGGTGCTGCAAATACCACCCCACACTTTGTGCGGGCACATTTAAGGATCAACATCCACCATGTGACGAGATGATAAATGTTAACTTGACCCTGTCCCAAGAGCAATTTGCAAAGTGAACCTTAGAATGAACAACGTACTCACCAAAGATTTGCTTTCAATCACGAGGTGTAATAATATTGTAAAAAACATGGAGGTGTTAATAGGACTCCCGAAAGAATAGAGGTCTATATCAGAGCCACTGTAGGTCTGCAAAGGAACAATTATTTAAAGTTTATGTACTCTGTGATTGTATTCCCCCCTTTTTCCTTAAGATTTCTTTAAAGCTTTTTCTTGAGACAACAAGATAAAAGAATCTAATCTAAATAACCAAAACAAAGAAGGAAAGAGAAAAGAAAACACAGAGTCTTCTCTTAAATGTAGCTCTTAATCCTTGTCACCAACAGAAAATGATGGACCTTCCCAGCTCTCACCTGGGAGCTTTTCTTTCTTCTCCCAGACTTTCAGCCTGGGAGATCTTCACTTCCCTGCCTCTCACTCTGGGTCCTGCCACCAACCATACACCACCTTCGTGTGTGTGTAATCCTTGGACCCCAATAATGGCTCAGAGCAGAGGACACAAAAGGGGGGAGGGAAAGAAAGAAAAAAGAGAAAGAAAAGAAGAATGAAAAATAAATAAAAGGACTCCTGATTTTATATCTGCCCACTACTTAAAAAAATATATATATTTGTAACATTTGCCCTAGGATGACATCCAATTGTTCTGCTTTCTGTTAAAATTTCCCCAATCTTCAGACTCAAATGTGTGAAATCCATTCGTTTTTCTTTTCACACAAGAAGTTCAAAAGGAATTCTCTATTGTTAATAAATATGTGTAATGATTTTTCTCCAATCAAACATAACCACTTGGTCTTCCACAACCACAACTTCCACTTCGCCTTAAACAATAATAAATCTTTCCATCTTTGTCCATGTACGAGTCTCTCCACGGTGACCATATATTGAGATATTATTCCATAGTTCTTTTCTTGTTACGTATCCATTAATTCGCACCCAGTTCTGTATCTTCAGTTCCCATTTCCTGTTGTGTTCCATCCTTATCTAAAAAATTATTTCCTCTTCCATTTACATTTTTTCTATTCTTTTCCCAAGGAAAGTACCAGAGTACCTTTTCCCTCTGAGTTCACTCCAAGTTGTACACAGAGCCCTTTCTCTCTCAGCTCTTATCAATGCCAGATCCAGATGTCTGTCCATGTCTCCATCCATGATTTCATTCTACTCCTCCAGAATCACACCACCATATGGCTGTTTTATTCCTCCAAACACTTGTGTAAATGACTTTTCCAATGCACCATCTATTCCCTCCAACTCTACCATTTCACACTCTGATTCTGCCAGTCCTTTATCCATATTCTTCTCCAAAGTCTCTGTATCGTCTCTGATTCTGCCTTTCATTTCATTCATTCCTGGTTTACTTTCATTCCCCACTGGATTAGACCCCAATGGAACTTTAGTCAATTTTATTTGCTCATCAAACATTTGCTGAAAGATGCCAACAGTCAGCGGAATGCCCAAATAGAGGTATATTTGCCAGACTGAATTTTCATGATCTTATTAACAATTCAGTCTCATTACATCTCCTGTCTCCACCTTAAGATCTTCACAGCCATATCTCTTATTAGAATAGAGAAGTTCCTTTCTCGTGGAGGAAGCATCAAGTGGCACATTTACTTTTGATTTCTAAGCAACATTTTCATCGAGAAAACAAAAATAAACAACATGAAATAAAAATTATTGACACACACAAGTGTCTCATTCATTTGCAAATTTCTTTTCTCAAGGCATTAAAACAAGCTTTTGGTTCTGCCTTCAGCCCTTTAACAATTGACTTATCTTCCCTTCTACTTGAAGCCAAAAAGCAGCTCATACATCAAATGTAAATTTCCACTGGCAGATGGATAAATTTCTCTGAGTTATAAATTACAGATTTCCAGAAATAATTAATAAAGAGAGGCTTTTGCTGATCACATGCACATCAGGGCTCTTATGTGGCTTTTGGGCAAGATGTAGACTCCTTGGTTCTTAAGTCGCTTAACCCCACCAGAGCTCCCAGGAGCTGACAGCTTCTCGGTCTCTTGACACAGAAAACTGCTTTTTCAGCGCATCAGAGGTTGGATCCCTATTCACTTTTTTCCAGGGTGAATTTGACAGTCGAAGCTTACTCCTGGCTGTCATCAATTATCATGGAATTATTTCCGTGGACTGCTGACAACAGAGATTCAATCTGCCATGCCCCACCCACCCACCGGAAGTCCTCTGTGCTTGTATTCCAGATCATGAGTACTGTAAGCCTACTGTTTTTTTTGAATATGAAGGAAGTTTAAAGATCATGCAAATAAAAGTTGAGATAAAGGAGTAAAATATCCTAACACTTACCCAGTAAGGGATAAAAAAGCAAACTAGACTTTGGTAAAAAGCATCTAATAAGTTCATTATGAAGGTTGTAAACAGGTATGGCTGAAAAGGAAAGACAGGAGAAACACTTATTGAGGGTGGGATTCATCTAATGAGCCCCACACAAGCACTTTTGCAATGGGTCTTCCCCCCCCACCTCTTAAATTGGGTTAAGGGGGTTCAGGAGAACCCCCAGAAGAGGGTTATTTTGAATTCTACTCATAGTTTGGGAAGATACAGATTCTAGTCCTTTTGCCTCGTCTGCATGTTTGGACGCCTGAACGCCTTACTGAGCTTCCAAAAGCTCACACATACAGTATCACCATCCAAGACCCAGGTCTCAACCTTCAGTGAGAGAGCCTGAGCTAGTCTGCAATATGCCCAAGTCACAAACGAGAGATTAAAGGGAGAAGGCGAGTCTAGTTATAAGACTAACACTTGTCGGTATATAAAAATGCAGCTTTTAAATTACCAAAAATACCATGGTCAAGCAGGAAGTGTTTGAAACTCTCTGAACAAAAATTGGTTCAATAAAAAATCTGTTGTATTTTCAACGAACCAACCAGAGATACTCATTGTCAGAGCTGCAGGGAACAGTACAGGCTGGTGAGACAGTATAGCAATCTAATCTGGAACCCCTCCTAGAGAGTTTCAGCTTGACTTTGACAGCATGCATGTCTAGCACACAGCGTACAAGATTCCCACATTTCTGCTGAGGCCTTCCTCGCCATGCTGGAGAAACACAAATAAGCAACAGCAGTCTACATGGTAGAAAATGGTAACAGGGCATCCATCAAATAACTGTTTGTGTATAAACTATGTTGCCCTCCTAAGGCCACCTACATTCATTGGCTGTAAAGCCAGTGAAGAATAATGCCTTTCATCTCCACCAGATTATTTAACAGGAGGGAATGTTCACGTTTAACTGGTAAGGAATGCACAACAGAGAACATGTGAGTCACTTCAGCTTCCAAATATTTGTAAGGAGCCAAGAAATACCTCGTTTCTCTGACTAGCCTTGTAAAGTTCTGGCAAGTGCAACAGGACTTCTGCGGAGACATCTTTGTCCAAAACGCCATAAATGACAGGTGGTACTGATGTGAAGAGCAGATTGAAGAAAATCAAACTCCAGTAGTCGGTCATGGGTGTTCCTGAAAACCCACAGAAGAACTGGAACCAGAACAGGAGGTTTACATATGCCTGTTGGGAACAGAGGTGGGAATTAAAAGGTGAGAATCTATAAACAAGAGCCAACAGGAATTATATATACTGAGTCAGACCACTGGTCTGTCTAGTTCACTTTTGTCTACACTGACTGGCAGAAGCTCTCCAGAGTTTTGGGAGTTTTCCACCCTACCCGGATTAACCTGGGACCTTTTCTTTGCTTCACTACTGATGTACAGTTCTGCCCCTTTGCGGGAAAGAACTGCGATGTCAAATGGTTCTTATAGTGGGCTACAGAAATGCTGAATGCCAATGATACGAATCTGTTGCCCTAGAAATGGTTACTAAGGGCTCAGGATTGCGAATACTGCATTTTCTCAGCACCAAACACTTAAGGTAATTTGGTGAAAATGTTGACTACCAGTATGAAGATAGTAAGACACCACTGTTACGAACTGCCTGGAGAGAGGGCTGGCTGTAGCCTCTTGCCTTGTTAAGCTGAGTGCTAAAAGTGATTCCTGCTTTCCCAGAATTTCAAATAGTTACCAATATTTAGTAATGCTTACTTTATTCCATGGTCAGAGGTTACAGACTATCAGCTCTCCAGGTTAGAGCTGCAAGGGGGGAAATTTCTTGAGTGGCACAGCAGCTGAGCTTTACAGGAGTTACCATGTGGTTACTCTGCTTGCCTCTATCCTAACTCCGTAACATAATGAACTCATTTTGAGTTCTTACTGCTCAGAAGTAAACCTCAAAGTTCACGTTTAACATCGAAACTGGCAAGGCCTGTCTGCTTCAGACACGCTTCCCCAGGCAGAAACGGCGTAAAATAATCCTTTGATAATTTGCAGGTTTCAATAGTGGAGCCAACTTGTCACAATCATCTTAGTGCTGACAGATAGCTTTTTGGCATAGACCGTATTTAAATTTATTATAAATGCCTCTGGAGCAGTGACCCTTAACCCAAGGCGGGTGGGCAGACTCCATTTCTGCTGCTGTAGATTCAGAGTACAGAATTTACTAGTGTCCTTTGCCTGTTTCTAATCATTAAGAAACTGTCCTTCCACAAGGTCAAACCCACTGAGGCATCCCCGGAAGCTACATACCAAATTCTTGTAAAAAAAGTAAAGGATCATGTTCGCTAATCGTGTGTAACACCAGTGGCCGTGTACGAACAGCAGCTTGCTGAGATGTCTGAACTGAGAAAGCGCAAAATCACTCGCCAGCACAGCCTGAAAACAAACATGAAATAAATGAAATACAGCAACCGAGAAAATAGCTACAAAATGAAGTCAGGAGCTTTCCTTGACCACGGAGTTACTTGACACTCCTGCATCCCACTGAAGCTGACTGCACAAGTCCCATTGGCCAAAAATAGAAACAAATGTCTCCACAAAGGTTTCCTTGTAGAAGTCATGGTCTTGTGTATACTGTTATACTTGTCTCCCTTTCTAACTCATCCTCCACTCATCCTCTCTTTCCCTTGATTCGGACCCCACACTCGTTAATCATCATTTATTGAGCAGTCTCTTACATGCCAACTAATCCACCCTCTTAACACGAGAACATATTTTAGTTCCTCACGAATCAAGGAAGCTGTTGAACGGAGATCTTTGCACGACCAACTCATAAATTATTACACTGTTCCCATGAGTCAATGACTTCTGTGACAACTAAAGCCGCCGGAATGAATCCTCTTCAAACCTCTTCAGATATCTACCTGAAACTGCTTCAAACATGCTCCACGAAGATGCCCATGGTTGTACAAATTCCTAGGTTCTCTGATTTCCAGGGAACATTCTCCTGGTACAGTGGTACCTCAGGTTACATACGCTTCAGGTTACATACACTTCAGGTTTACAGACTCCACTAACCCAGAAATAGTGCTTCAGGTTAAGAACTTTGCTTCAGGATAAGAACAGAAATCGGGCTTCGGCAGCGCGGCGGCAGCAGGAGGCCCCATTAGCTAAAGTGGTGCTTCAGGTTAAGAACAGTTTCAGGTTAAGAACGGACCTCCGGAACGAATTAAGTACTTAACCTGAGGTACCACTGTATATAATCTGATTTCTTAGGAACGTATGTCCATATTAGAACCTAATACAGTGTAAATATGGCTCTCAAGGCTGTTGCAATAGAATAATAGAACTGTAGAGTTGGAAGGAACTAGGAGGGTCATCCAACCCCCTGCAATGCAGGAATTCTGTCCACAGCCATCCCTGAGTGGGCATGAACCATCAAGCTTCTGGTTAACAGCCAAGACACACTGTCCCATTGCGCCACAGGTTCCCTACAACACCATAGTACTTGTATTTCCAATAGATCAGCTCTTTTGACAAAGACCTCTTGCAAATTCTAGGGTTTGGGGTATTCAGCTTTTGATTCCACTAACAATATATTCTGCTACTGATAAGTGTCCTGGCTCTCACAGTCATCAATCTATACGCAACACTGCTTCCATTTACAGTTCTCTCAATCCATCCTACCTGCATGCCTTCTTGGCCAGCAATTCCAATTCCAACATCAGCAACTTGGATCATACTAACATCGTTGGCACCATCACCTTCCAGGAGAAGGAAAAGAACAATGTTGCAGTGAAACTGGTTTGGGCTGGGGCACTGCACACAGACTTGACGAAAGAGAAAAATAAATTGAAATTTCATGGCCTCACAAGATGCGATGTTAAATACAAGTGCAAATGTCATCAGCTGGGAGGGCTGGTAATTATCACTGCAGACATCAAAAGAGGAAATGAAGCTTTTCCTTCCCTACTGCTGCACGTCAAATGCAAATTTATGTCTAGTTTGTTCATCAGTTTTAGAATTATTGTCAAGTAATGCTTACACTATTAAAATGGCTCTATAAAGTGCAACATGAAGATAGGGGGGTTCATGTTGGCATATTTAATGTAATAATGTAATGTAATGTAATAATGAGAATTTTAGGAGAGCAGATTTATAAAATACACAATTTTTATTGATAGTTTATGTGGCTATTTAGAGGGCACTTGTAAGTTTGCATTATACCTGTATCTGTATATGTTGGGCATTGTAATAAATGTTTTTATCATGAAATTGGTGTATCTGATGTAAAGAAACCTTATAAACGAATTACTATTTTTTGAAAAGTGCAATAAAACTATATTGCCAACACAGCTCATGATCTACCTCAGAGGCTTGTTGGTTGGATTACTACCCTGCACAGATGGGGAATGACGACAGCATCACATATTGATGGCCTTCTGTGTGATGGCCTCTAATTTGTGAATGCGCTCCCCGGGCAAAGGAAAACAGGCACCAACGCTATTCGTGTTTTGGTGCCAGGTAAAGCTGTTTCCATGAGCACTTTTGAGATATGAGCCTGCTGGATCAGATCAGTAGCCCATCTAATCTATTTTACTCTATCAGAACGCATCCATCAGGATTAGCAGCCAACGACAGCCTTATCTTCCATGAATTTGTCCAATCCTCTTTTATAAACCCATCCATACTGGAAGCCATCGCTGCCTCTTGTGGGAGTTAGCTGTGGAATTATCAGTGTGTAGTGTGACGAAGTGCTTTTCTTTTGTCTGTCCTGGATCTTCCAACATTCAGCATCACTGTATGTCTACAAATTCTAGTGTTATGGGACGAATGTTCTGCCGCTACAATTAGGTCCCGTGGATGCTTTTATAACAGGAAGGTGGGCCAAAAATATTTTGAACAAGCAAGTGAACTTTATATGGAGGTGAGAGTCGTGCTTCTCCTTTTCACCTATCTCCCAAATATGTTGAACATGGGCTGCAGGAGAAAGGTATGTGGTTGCCAGAAATGCATGCTAACCCCCCGCTCCCCGGTTGCAAATAATCCCAAGAGTTTGGACAGAGGAAGTGTGACTATCTCACAATTCCCACTGTGGTGTTTTCACATAACATATAAAGTCACCTTGAAATTGTTATTCTAAATGAGAGTGTTGAAAATATTCTGACGTACATAGAGCAAGCTTCCCTGCTTACTGCAATCGGAAGGAGGCAACTAGAGTGAAAATGCCTGGCTGATGCAGTTGTTACATCAGACTGTCTGTCTGTCTGTATCTATGGAGCAGCAGGGCTTTTCAACTAGCAGATCCCAGTTGGGATTCTACAGCCACGTTCTACCATTTGCCTGCTGGTCTGCTCTGGTTTGTGTCAATAGTTATCCCAAGGAAAATCCAAGGAACGTACCTTTAATGCAGATGTGGGGATCCTGTGGTCCTCCAGCTGTTGCTGGATTACAACTCATATCAACCCCAGCCAGCATGGCCAGTGGTCAGGGATGATGGAGATCAGATAACCCCCATCCCTGCTTTACAGTGAAATCAAAGGTGATGCTGCTCCCTTGCAAGAGAGAGATGACTCACCTACAGCCAATGTCATCACCTTCAGTTCCTTTCGGATCTTTTCCACCACTCGGCTCTTCTGCAGAGGGGTGGCTCGGCAGCAGATGACAGCCCGTACATGTGTTGTGAGCTGCAGGAACTTGCTCGCCACACTGTCGTGCAAGGCAAATTCTAATGTTGCTCCATCTATAACTAGGGCAGCAGTGAAATGTGGAATTTGAGCAACCGATGAGGTTGGGATTCTCAAATGGTTTGCATCATAGCTTTCTTTCCACTTGATGTCTTCCAAAATCTTGTCCATCTTCAACGAACAGGAATCCTGGTTGGGAAAAGGGCATTGGTAGGTTTTATCTACGATCAGTTCCTTATAAGTACATATTAAAGCTTTGCTTTACAAGTCACACCTCAATGGGTGTTAACAGCTTGTCAACTAGCAGATCCCGGTTGGGATTCTACAGCCACATTCTACCATTTGCCTGCTGGTCTGCTCTAGTTTGTGTCAATAGTTATCCCAAGGAAAATCTAAGGAACGTACCTTTAATGCAGATGTGGGGATCCTGTGGTCCTCCAGCTGTTGCTGGATTACAACTCATATCAACCCCAGACAGCATGGCCAGTGATAATAAATAATAGATGTATCTTGAGTGCGTTCATTAATGAAAATGATCCGCCGTGTGTGTATGGAGTGTAGAAAATAATAGATGTATCTTGAGTGCGTTCATTAATGAAAATGATCCGCCATTTTTAATTCTGCAAAAGATCTGCAAGGCCATGATAGGGAAAGCCATCAGCACAAAGATTCTGGGCCACTTTGGATATTACCATAAACCGGTTTATGATGGAAGGGGGAATAAGCCAAAGGAACGACTCTCCAACACAGCCATGAGATCAGAAGCTTTCACTTCCATTTTTTATTAACTGCAATATGTCCAAACCCTATACTATAGTCTACCTTAACTATGGTTTGTGGAAAGGAGCCAACTTCAGAACCCATGCCTTGAACTTGGCTTGTTTCAAACATATTTTAAGACACTGTTTGTCAGGTTCAGATGAAGCAACAATATGGTTAATCAAAATGGAAACAAAGGTTTCTGTTCGTTTCATGTCTGCAGCAGGAATGCATTTAAAATTCTGAGGCTCACTGCGGCTTGCTCCTGTTGCAATAAACCATGGCTTAGACAAAGCAGCTCACTGTCACGTGAGCAAGGGTTCGTTAAATGCTTAAGAAATGAGCCACACAGAGAGTTTATATTTAGCTAGGGGCAGGAATCCAATGGCTGAAGGAAACACTGGAAAGAGATATATCTTGCAATGTGTGTTTTTTTTATAAAAAAAATCTGATTAATGGAAGGGGCTATATTATTAAATCGTGATCCATATGCATGTGAGTAGTTAGTTTTTTTATTTAAAGAAATAAAATAAACTCATCTTACATAATTCAGCTAACATAAATGGGATCTGCAGAAGTGCAAGGGAAATTTCTGAGAGTTTATAGACACACGGCTCACTAAAATGAATGGGAGCTGTACATGAAGTTGTATGCTGCTTTCTCAATAATACACAGTGGGTTTGAACTGAAAGGACCTTTCCTCCCCAAAAATCATAATTAAATATAACCATCCGCCATGGATGCTTTAGTTGAGATTCTTGCATGGCAGGGGGTTGGACTAGATCATTATTGAAGTTCTTTCCAACTCTACAATTCTATGATTCTATGAATGTGCAATTAAAAGAAACATAACACTGTCTAGATTGGGACGCAGGTGGCGCTGTGGGTAAAACCACAGTGCCTAGGACTTGCCGATCGTATGGTCGGCGGCTCGAATCCCCGTGGCGGGGTGAGCTCCCGTCTTTCAGTCCCAGCTCCTGCCCACCTAGCAGTTCGAAAGCACCCTTAAGTGCAAGTAGATAAATAGGTACCGCTTTATAGCGGGAAGGTAAATGGTGTTCCGTGTGCTGCGCTGGTGCCGGTTCGCCAGAGCAGCTTCGTCACGCTGGCCACGTGACCCGGAAGTGTCTGCGGACGGTGCCGGCTCCCGGCCCTAGAGTGAGATGAGCACACAACCCTAGAGTCTGTCAAGACTGGCCCGTATGGGCAGGGGTACCTTTACCTTTAACACTGTCTAGACAACATTTTTACTGTGATTAGTTCATCAGTCTTCAAGTGAGTCATCTGTGAAAACAAAGGCCTGAATTTCTAACAAACAAAATATCCATTCCTGCCATCATACAATATTCTTTTCAACCTGTTGGCTTTTTTTTTTACGGCAAAGCATTCTCTGTCCTAATTTTTAAGCAATCTTTAACAAGTTATGGCTAGGATTAGTACTGGATAATGTGAATAAAGATATTTCCATCACATTAAAGGGTACTGGCTTCCCATTTGAAAACACTGACTATTTTTAAGAGAGAACACAAAAACACCAAGATTTTTTCTGCATTAGGAAATGTAAGTAGATTAACTTTCTGGAATGCTGCATGTAATACCATTTTAATGAGATAATTCTTAGCACATTAATGGTAATCAAACACGGCTGCAGGGAGATACGACAAAGAGCAACTTGCAAAAACTGAACTTGTTCCAATTTCCAAGACAAAGCTCCTAGTCCGACATCCATAGAGCTAGTGTAGTTTAGCATTTAGCCCTCGGAAGCATTTTAACAACGGTTTGCAGTGTGTCAACTTTCTGCGCAAGGCGGAAGGACAAATGAATTGGTGGCTGCATTTAAATAATTAACTTCCACTTATGCTTCTGTTCAGGAGTACAATTGTACAAAGCCTTACAGCTTAGACACTCACATTTAGCAAAAAATCCTGAATTTATAAAGGTCATCCTACAAAAAGCTGCAGTTTTTAGAAGCGAAGGGAACTGTGACACACTGCCAACACCCCAGCTGCACAGACCAGTGTGAAGCCATTGGCCAAAAAGGAAAGGAGGAGCAGCAGCAGTAGCGGGGCGAGATGGGAAAGAAAACAGCAACATGAATTAACCCAAAGCAAGAACTGGAAGAGGTCTGGTGGGTAAGTTTGCTGCTCTTGTCTTTTCTGGCCCTGCGGTCATACAGCAATGCAAACAGTTCCAGCTACAGAAAAACCAAATGCCACACGCACCAGGCGATCAGACTGCAGGATGAAGATGAAATCACTCGGCGCCAGTAATCTACAGGAATGTGCTATGTTGATGGCTGTCTCGCTTTTATCGCCAGTTAGCATCCAGATTTTAATTCCTGCTTTTCGGAGCGCCTCTATGGTTTCTGGAACACCTTCCTGCAATCGGTCTTCAATTCCGGTGGCACCTGCAAAGCAGCAATCAGTGGGATTAGGTCAAACTGCACTGTTCTGCACCACCTGCCAATTGGTTTCCAGGCCCAATTCAAAGTGCAGGTGCTGATCTATAAAGCCTTACAAGGTTCAGGACCTCAATATCTTAAGGACTGCGACTCCCCATACAAACTGACCTGGGCCCTGCGCTTGTCATCTGAGGCCCTTCTCTGTGCCCCCTCCCCACTAGAGGTTTGGAGGATGGCATCACAATAATGGGCCTTTTCTGTGGTGGCTCCCCATCTGTGGAATGCTCTCCCCAGGGAGGCTCACCTGGTGCCGTAATTACACATATTTAGGCAAAAACATTGCTCTTTACCCAGGCCCTTGGCCATTCAATAATGTATGGCCTGCTAGATGCGTGGGAGGAGACTGTTATGATTATTTTATTATTATGTTGATGTTTTATTGTGTTTTTAATATTTTGTTAGAAGCCACGCAGAGTTGCTGGTAAAACTCAACCAGATGGGGTGTGTATAAATATATTATTTATTATTATTATTATTATTATTATTATTATTATTATTATTATTATTTCTACTATTAGGCTCTGTATTATGTTTTTATTATTATGCTACATAAATTATGTGCTTAATTTTGTACACCGCCCTGGGATTTTTAGATAATGGACAGGATGTAGATCAAATCAATAACAATAGCAGAAAATAATTAAAAAATGCAATTAAGTGTAAATACTACTCAGCAGTTGGTAGCGGCAATATATAGAGCTGAGAAATGCCAAGTTTCTCCTAAGCAAAAATATGCTGAAATTTAAGGTTCATAATTTTTTTCCAAGTGGGATTGCAAAAGACTTATTACCATTCCAATTGCCAATGGTTTCTAGGCAAAGTGGCTACAATTCCCAACTCCTAACATGAGGTAAATGATGATGAATCAGCTTATGTGCCGATTTGCAACCTAACACATTTTACATGTGATAGAATTTCCCAAAATGTCTGAGAAATAATATGGAACCAGGATGAGTGTGGTGCCTTGGTCTGAACCGTAAAGGATATGGAGTAGTTTCTCTAACAGAATCAAAGCCTACGAAATCATGTATCCCAACAGCAATCTCAGTTTATCTGAGTGCTGGTCTTTAGGTGGGCAACGTGGCCCACCTTATGTGGGCAAGTAACAAAAACAACCTTTAGTGGGGGGAAACCCCTCAGGATGGAATTCCTCCATCCCTACCGAATCAGCTGGATGAGTACTGAGTACCCTCAGATACCTGCTGAGGGTAAAAATTGGGAAATTGGGTGGTAGGAGGGGAAATGGAATGCAATGTCTGGAATCCTGATCAGAAGCACTCCTTGCAGAGGCCTTCCCCTTTCAGCGCATGAAGGGGGGATTTTGTGGTATCTGATAGCCCCTGGGATGCCCTCCCAGGCAGGGCCAGCCCAGCCATTAGACAGTGTGAAGCCACAGCCTCAGGTGGCAGAAATTCATAAGGTGGCACCCACACACCCTGCTGTCTCCACCATCAGCGCTGATTTCTGGAGACGTTTTGCTGGCAATCAGTGGCGGCGCGGCGGCACTTTCGCCTCCAGGGAATGCTTCCAGGAGCCACCAGATTGCACCTAAGTCGTCTACTCTTCATTCTCAAAAATTTATGCTCCTCCTTCCGAACCCCATTAAGCAGCAAAAGAAATGTTTAGATTAGTTTTGCAACTTCAGGGAATTGAAGTGATACGGGGATACAGTCCAACACAAATGTTAAGCATGTTCAAGCCCACTGGGCTAAGAGCATTTGATGGAGCTGCATTCATTGATAAGGTTTGAGCCTATACAGTGGCTCCTGCAATGGTACCTCGGGTTAAGTACTTAATTCGTTCTGGAGGTCCGTTCTTAACCTGAAACTGTTCTTAACCTGAAGCACCACTTTAGTTAATGGGGCCTCCTACTGCTGCCGCGCCACCGGAGCACGATTTCTGTTCTCATCCTGAAGCAAAGTTCTTAACCTGAAGCACTATTTCTGGGTTAGCGGAGTCTGTAACCTGAAGTGTATGTAACCTGAAGCATATGTAACCAGAGGTACCACTGTATATTTAGGAGTTCAGCAAAACAACCATCTTCTTCCCAACTCACCAAGCAGTGTTAATTTGTTCTCAAGCTTCTGCATCGACTCAAGGAGCATTTCGTCCCGGCACTCTATGTTGTGTTCCGCGGAATAATATCCTTTTAACCATTCGTTGTATTCCTCATCAGTCAACACCTGCAGAATCAGCAAAGAGGCGACATCACCGTGCTGATCAACGTCATGCAAATAAAGCCATTTTAAAATAATAAAGAATTCACAGCATTCATCTCTCTAAAGCAAATTATATATCCAGATATATTTTTTAAGAGTCCCTTTGACCATTTGCAAGCGGTCTTTGGCCAACACAATGTGTGACAGAAGGAGAGGTGTGAAAATTATACCAATAGGTGTGTGTGGGGGGAGATAAGGGCTAGAGCAAGAAGACAGCATCATTTGGCGCAAGGTGGGAGGCGAAAACTTGCCATCCACTTGCAGAAGCATGATGCACCAAATAATAAATAATAATAAAATTTTATTTATATCCCACCCTCCCCAGCCAAAGCCGGGCTCAGAGTGGCTAACAGCAGTAAAAGTAACACAGTTTACATAAAATCACAATCAATTAATTGAAATACATTCTAAAATCAATTCAGAATCAAATTACAGTGGTGCCCCGCAAGACGAATGCCTCGCAAGACGGAAAACCCGCTAGACGAAAGGGTTTTCCGTTTTGGAGGCGCTTCGCAAAACGAATTTCCCTATGGGCTTGCTTCGCAAGACGAAAATGTCTTGCGAGTCTTGCCATTTTTTTCTGCTCCCCCCCTTTTTCTAAGCCGCTAAGCCGCTAATAGCCTTTTAGCAGCTCAGCCGCTAAGCCTTTAATAGCCGCTAAACCGCTAATAGCGCTAATCCGCTTAGCCGCTAATGGGGTTGCTTCGCAAGACGAAAAAACCGCTAGACGAAGAGAATTGCGGAACGGATTCTTTTTGTCTTGCGAGGCACCACTGTAATGGCAACCATCGGGCTAGAGTTCTATGAGGATCACCAAAGGAGGGGGTCAGACTGTGCCTTGGCCAAAGGCCTGGTGGAACAGCTCTGTCTTGCAGGCCCTGTGGAAAGATGTCAAGTCCCGCAGGGCCCTAGTCTCTTTTGACCGAGCGTTCTACCAGATCGGGGCCGCAGCTGAAAAAGCCCTGGCTCTAGTTGAGGCCAGCCTAACCTCCCTGTGGCCCCAGACCTCCAAGATGTTTTTGTTTGAAGACCGTAAGGTCCTCTGTGGGACATACCAGGAGAGGCAGTCCTGTAGGTATGAGGGTCCTAGGCTGTATAGGGCTTTAAAGGTTAAAACCAGCACCTTAAACCTGATCCTGTACTCTACCGGGAGCCAGTGCAGCTGGTATAGAGCCGGGCGAATGTGATCCCGCAGCGAGGACCCCGTAAGGAGTCTCGCCACGGCAGTCTGTACCCGCTGGAGTTTCTGGGTCAGTCTCAAGGGCAGCCCCACGTAGAGCAAGTTACAATAATCAAGTCTGGAGGCGACTCCCCTGTGTGAGTGCCTGAGGGCCCTGCTCTTGCCACTTACCACCTGGCCTGGGGCGGGGCCTGAAGCCTCAAAAGGACTGCTCTGCTGCCCAGGAGGACTCCCCTGTGTGAGTGTCTGAGCGCCCTGCTCTTGCCACTTACCACCTGGCCTGGGGCGGGGCCTGAAGCCTCAAAAGGACTGCTCTGCTGCCCAGGAGGACTCCCCTGTGTGAGTGCCTGAGGGCCCTGCTCTTGCCACTTACCATCTGGCCCAGGGCGGGGCCTGAAGCCTCAAAAGAAAGGACTGCTCTGCTGCCCAGTAGGACTCCCCTGTGTGAGTGCCTGAGGGCCCTGCTCTTGCCACTTACCATCTGGCCTGGGGCGGGGCCTGAAGTCTCAAAAGGACTGCTCTGCTGCCCAGGAGGACTCCCCTGTGTGAGTGCCTGAGGGCCCTGCTCTTGCCACTTACCATCTGGCCCAGGGCGGGGCCTGAAGCCTCAAAAGAAAGGACTGCTCTGCTGCCCAGGAGGACTCCCCTGTGTGAGTGCCTGAGGGCCCTGCTCTTGCCACTTACCATCTGGCCTGGGGCGGGGCCTGAAGTCTCAAAAGGACTGCTCTGCTGCCCAGGAGGACTCCCCTGTGTGAGTGCCTGAGGGCCCTGCTCTTGCCACTTACCATCTGGCCTGGGGCGGGGCCTGAAGCCTCAAAAGGACTGCTCTGCTGCCCAGGATGACTCCCCTGTGTGAGTGCCTGAGGGCCCTGCTCCTTCTTGCCACTTACCACCTGGCCCAGGGAGGGCCTGACAGGCCTCACAAGGACTGCTCCTGCCACTTACTATCTGGCCCAGGGTGGGGCCTCACAAGGATGGTTGTTGCCACTGATGCTGCTACTGCCCAGGAGGACCCGGAGGGGTGCAGAGTTCTTTTTAACACGTTGGTTTTTTAAAAAAAAATATTTTCCTTTCCCTTTAGATTTTTTATATATGGGGATGGGATGGATGTTTGGGTGGGCTTGGGAATTTGTTAGATTTTGATGAATTTGTAATTTTTGCAGTTTTTATTTGTATTGTTTTATTGTTTTCTGGGTTGTTTTTGTTTTATTGTTTTAAGGTTTTATTGTTTTAGGATGCGAAAGAATAACATTAATTGCCATCAATGGAGGCTACTATGAGGCTTGGGATTGCTATCGTGGAGGGGCAAGGGAGGTATGGCGGTGGGGGCAGATGTTATAGGCAAAGGGGATCGAGATATGGATATGCTCGTACCCCTTCCAATCTGCACCCCACCCTGAGGGACGAGGGTAGGGTGAGCAAGGATTGCTCACCTCCGTCACTGGTGCTGTGCAATGCCAGGTCTATAGGCAACAAAACTGCCACCCTGCGAGATTTCTTTATCTCGCAGGGGGTCGACCTGGCTTGTGTGACAGAGACCTGGGTGCGCGAAGGGGCAACAGTTACCTTGGCGCCCCCGGGTTTCTCCGTCCTCCACCAGTCGCGGACTGTGGGCGAGGGGTGGCATTATTAATCCGGGAAGATTGTCCTTTCAGGGCTCTACCATCGCCATCGATCCCCGGTATTGAATGTGTTGGCCTAGTGTGGGGCTCCGAGGAGAGCTTGGCTGTCTGGCTGGTGTACCGGCCACCTAGCGCACCAGCAGCCACCCTGTCAGGTCTATTGGAGGCGGTGGCCGGCTGGGCCTTGGAGTTCCCTAACCTATTTGTATTGGGGGACTTTAACATCCATGCTGATGCCACTCCCTCCTCACAGGCTCTGGACCTGGTGTCTTCCATGGCGACACTAGGGCTCTCCCAGTTTGTTTCGGGCCCCACACATCAAGCAGGCCACACGCTGGATTTGATCTTTGGCGTAGGTATAGATGTGGTCATGTCTCCTTCAATGAAGGTGCCATGGTCTGATCACAATGCTCTGAAAGCCAGGATTGACTTTCCACCCCCACCCTGCTTAGGTGGCGAGCCGATTTGGGCTCGCCCGCAGAGACTGATGGACCCTGATAGATTCCGCCAAGCCTTGCGGGACCTTGCTCCCCCTGGCGACTCATTGACTGAGCTTGTTGAGGGCTGGAATACCCAGCTCCTGGCAGCCATCGATGAGATCGCACCTAAGCGCCCTCTGCGACCCCGCAGAAACCGGGCTCCCTGGTTTACTGAGGAGCTCCGGAAAATGAAGCGTGACCTCAGACGGCTAGAGTGAGTATGGCGGGGTGCCTGTGATGGAGCCTCAAGAACATCTTATAGGGCTTTTATGAAAACCTATGAGATGGCGGTGAAGGCTGCTAAGAAGTCTTACTTCTCGGCCTCCATTGCATCTGCTAGCTCTCGCCCGGCGCAATTATTTAGTATAATCAGGTCTTTAACGTCCCTTGAGGGACAGCCAAATTTAAATAACAATTTGACACACAGCTGTGAGGCATTTGCGAGCTTTTTTGCGGAGGTCTTGTTGCTCCGCCATGACCTCCCTGCCAATTTGGATACAATAAAGGAACTGGAGGCCCCTCGACTGTCCTCGGATCCAGTATTGGACCACTTCGACCGGATATCCCCAGCCGATGTGGACAGACTCCTCCGAGCTGGAAAGCCCACCACCTGTCCTCTCGACCCGTGCCCGTCTTGGCTGATTAGAGCGTGTCCAGACGAGGTGCGGGCCCTCCTGGGGGATATCATCAATTTGTCCCTTGGCACGGGGACATTCCCAGGGGAACTGAAGGAGGCAGTGGTGCGCCCGCTCTTAAAGAAAACATCATTAGATCCTTTAGATCTATCCAATTACCGCCCGGTTTCGAATCTTCCGTTCCTGGGTAAGGTGATTGAGAGAGCGGTTGCTGAACAGCTTGGTGGGTTTCTGGATGAAACATCGGCTCTGGATCCATTCCAGTCCAGCTTCCGCGCTGGTCATGGAACTGAGACGGCTCTGGTTGCCCTAACAGATGATCTTCGTAGACAGCTGGATCGAGGCGGGTCATAGAATCATAGAATCATAGAGTTGGAAGAGACCACAAGGGCCATCGAGTCCAACCCCCTGCCAAGCAGGAAACACCATCAGAGCACTCCTGACATATGGTTGTCAAGCCTCTGCTTAAAGACCTCCAAAGAAGGAGGTCGGGGCTGTTGATTCTTCTAGATCTGTCAGCAGCTTTCGACATGGTCGATCATGAACTTCTGGACCACTGCCTTGCCGACGTGGGGATCCAGGGCACAGTCCTTCAATGGCTTTCCATGCAGGCACAGATTGCAGCTATAACAAAGGCGGCATTTTTCCATCTCCACCAAGCTAAGCAGTTGGCTCCTTACCTCTCTCGCCCTGACCTAGCCACTGTGATCCACGCGATGGTCACCTCCAGGCTGGATTATTGTAACTCGCTCTACGTGGGGCTGCCCTTGAGACTGACCCAGAAATTCCAGCGGGTGCAGAATGCTGCAGCGAGACTCCTTACGAGGTCTTTGCTGCGAGATCACATTCACCCGGTGCTATACCAGCTGCACTGGCTCCCGGTGGAGTACAGGATCAGGTTTAAGGTGCTGGTTTTAACCATTAAAGCCCTATACAGCCTAGGACCCTTGTACCTACGGGACCGCCTCTCCTGGTATGTCCCACGGAGGACCTTACGGTCTTCAAACAAAAACATCTTGGAGGTCTGGGGCCACAGGGAGGTTAGGCTGGCCTCAACTAGAGCCAGGGCTTTTTCAGCTGCGGCCCCGATCTGGTAGAACGCTCGGTCAAAAGAGACTAGGGCCCTGCGGGACTTGACATCTTTCCACAGGGCCTGCAAGACAGAGCTGTTCCACCAGGCCTTTGGCCAGGGCACAGCCTGACTCCCTCCCTCAGCAATCTTCGCGGAGCTCTGGCCCAATGGTTGCCAGTGGCTTGAATTAATTAATTTTATAATGAATGATTTTAGAGTGTTGTTTATGCTGTACTTTTGTACTGTTTTATTGTTGTTAGCCGCCCTGAGCCCGGCTTCGGCTGGGGAGGGCGGGATATAAATAAAATTTATTATTATTATTATTATTATTATTATTATTATTATTCCTTCCTTCCTTCCTTCCTTCCTTCCTTCCTTCCTTCCTTCCTTCCTTCCTTCCTTCTGCCTTGTCACTCTGAGCTCCTAGACTGGCCACCTGGCAGTCAATGCACCCATCCCTGCTTTTTTATGTGTTTTCTGAACTGCACTCAACAAAGACGGTGGCCTTTGCTGCTTTCTCCCTCGCAGCACCATGTACTGGCTGAATTATTTCAGGTTGTATATAAACTGAGTGTATGCCCAGGAATGATACATGCACACCAAATCTACAGTATTTTGGAGGTGGCCCCGTGTCACTTACATAACTACCAAGCTCAGTATTTGAGAGAATGCGGGTGCTGCAAGAATTAAAACATTACTTCATTTAAAGGGAATAACAGAGTGTGTTACAATGGGGCTGGCTACAGAACTATACGACTGAGACAGGCATCTTCCACTATTACAACAAACCCCCCAAATCAGTCAAGTTCCCTATTTTTTTGTTTCTCAAAGTGAGTTTTTTCTGGCACATCACTGCTTGACAAATGCAATTTATGTCAAACCAAGGTTTTGAGAGCAAAATCCTGGGGATCGTTCAAGCTATGTAATCGCCTATCCTCCACTGCCATCTATTGAAAGTAAAATAACAGGCTTAAAATAACAACAAATCCCTCCTAAAAACTCCCAATATTGATACTAAAAAATAGCTAAAGAAAGTCCTGACACGTGCATGCAGTTTACTCGTTCATTTAAATGTTGGGGGTGGCTTCATTTAACCATCCCTTTGTAGAAAGAGAACTTGCCCTTCCTTTGAAATCAGTTTGTGATGGGAAACCATGTGGCCAGACCATATCCATATGCTTTCAACTGTGGTTAGGACACAGGTCATGGAGAGAGATGTTTGAAAATTCTAAATATTCCATATATAATCTGCTGACCAGTGCTTTGACTACGTCCTAAACCAAGAAAAAGGTGCCCCCACCCAACTGGGCGAGCTTAAACCCCAAATCTGCTGGCTAGGAGTTAGGAAGAAACAGAGGTGCTTCTCCATCAGCAGAGAAGAGTTTCACTGGCAAAAGACCACAGCAATTGTGGAGCCTTCCGCTACACCCGCAGATAGCTCTGAAGGTATAGATGGCAGGTCTCTGGAAGCGGCAGCTGAGCCTCCACCCAGTTTAGGAATGCGCTGTAAAATAAATAGCACCCTATTCTTTCAAGAATAGAAAAAACAGAATTGCAGAATTGTAGAGTTGGGAGGGATCGCGAGTCTCATCTAGCCTAATTCCCTGCAATGCAAGAATCTCAACACAATGGCCCCCATCCAATCTGAAACCCCACCACACCCTGCTTAGCTTTGCAAACGTGCTAGCGGTTTTATTGCTGGCACTGAGGTTTTGCCAATTCTGTACCGTTAACCATTAAGAGAAATATCACCTTCATAGCTACACAGAGAGTGCGCAGTCCTTGTGCAGCATAATCATCCAAATGCATCTGAGTTCTCTCCTTAATTCTTTTCATCTGCGCGTCAATCTTTTTAATACCTGAGATTTGAGATAATGAAAAGCAGGAAACGTTAAATACTAAACATAGGGGTCATCTATGTAAAAGGATCAAATTCCTGAGGGTGGGTGGCGGTGGGGAGCTATGTAAAATATTCTGAGTGGCATCCTGAGATATAATAGGGGAATAAATTTTGACAGGTGCTACTTGTGCAATCTATGGAGTCCAAAGGCCTTGGGGCCCAGTTATGCTAAAATGTACCAAAATATTGTTTGCATTTTTGTGGTGACCAACAGTAAATAAACTTGACTGACTGGCCCTTGCATTTCAGAGACTTATAAGACTTTGGTTTATTTGGTTCTCTGTTTTCTATTTGGTTTCTCATATTGTTCAATGTTCCGGATAGACTATATAAAGAGTTTATATTGGTATTGCATTGTTGTACTTGGTCATCGTGTTGCCTTGGATATTACTGGCCCTTGCATTGGGCAGGTTTTTTGCCTGGCGGTGGAGATACCTTGATCAGGAACCTAGTTTTCCTACAGCAAGGCAGCAGCTCATGTAAAATGTAGTGGCACGACTATTCCCTAGGGTACAATATCTCTATCAGAATACACCATGGCTAGAGGCCCAAGTGACCTCAGAGTGCCTTTTACCACCCTTACTTTGTAAGACCATTAAGGGCATTCCTGGATTGAGATAGCCTGGCCGCTGTTGTCCATACACTGGAAGCCTCGAGATGGGATTACCACAACACTCTATTGGCTATTTCTCAGATTACGTACATCACTGTCCAGACTCTCAAGGTTTATGAAACGTCTGGATTGGAGGTTAAAGGCTTCTGTGTTTGCCAGTGTTTATTAGAAAGCTGACTAGAGCGTCCCCCATACCTGTTGAGTCTTTCTCCAGCAAATCCATCATGACGGAGTCTGCTCCTTTGGTGTACACGACGATGTGGTTCAAAATGGGGTGCCTCACCACAATGGACATCCGTTTGCGGACGGAATCGAAAGGCAAGATGTGTAGCAGCTGAAACGTTAACAGTCCCAAAGGTTCCAAGTGTACCGTCACCAGTTCGGGACTCCTAGACTGCAAACGGCATTGGTAAGCCCTGGCAGCGTAAACCAAGGCCGCTTCGTCAGGGCTCTCTGCTTCATAGAACAGATCGCCTTCAGGAGATGACCCAGCCCCGGTTCCGGGTGCCAATTCTTTTGACCTACTTGAGGTCTCTGTTTCGTCGTGCCCTGACACTATGGAGCTGGTTGGGCTTCCGGACGAAGAGCTTTGATTCGAAAGAGATGACGGAAACTTCACACGGAAAATGGACAGCTTCTGTGAACGCGAGCTTTCAGACTCTGATTCGGCTATACCTGAGCTTCGAGCAGAGGTGGGGCTTATTTTTCGGGCAGATAACTTATGGAAAATTTGCTTCAGGTCCATAAAGTGTGAAGTGGGAACTCGGTTTTTGGGAGTCCATCGCCTCTGTAAAAACAGGAATAATCATCATCATCAGCAGCAGCAGCAGCAGCAGCCATAAAGGATACAATCCAAAGGCCTGTACACAAAACAGACAAGCAAAGCCTCTGTATTACAGCCAACACCTTTTAACATGTTGAAACCAGATCCTAAGCTCCCTTAGAAAAGAAGTAAAAGTTTAAGACTCAGTGGAACGCAGTGGATGTAGCCTACCTTGATTTCAGCAAGGCATTTGACAAGGTGCCCCATGATATTCTTGTAAAGAAGCTGGTAAAATGCGGTCTTGACTATGCTACCACTCAGTGGATTTGTAACTGGCTGACTGACCGAACCCAAAGGGTGCTCATCAATGGTTCCTCTTCATCCTGGAGAAGAGTGACTAGTGGGGTGCCACAGGGTTCTGTCTTGGGCCCGGTCTTATTCAACATCTTTATCAACAACTTGGATGATGGACTCAAGGGCATCCTGATCAAATTTGCAGATGACACCAAACTGGGAGGCGTGGCTAACACCCCAGAGGACAGGATCACACTTCAAAACGACCTTGACAGATTAGAGAACTGGGCCAAAACAAACAAGATGAACTTTAACAGGGAGAAATGTAAAGTATTGCACTTGGGCAAAAAAAATGAGAGGCACAAATACAAGATGGGTGACACCTGGCTTGAGAGCAGTACATGTGAAAAGGATCTAGGAGTCTTGGTTGACCACAAACTTGACATGAGCCAACAGTGTGACGCGGCAGCTAAAAAAGCCAATGCAATTCTGGGCTGCATCAATAGGAGTATAGCATCTAGATCAAGGGAAGTAATAGTGCCACTGTATTCTGCTCTGGTCAGACCTCACCTGGAGTACTGTGTCCAGTTCTGGGCACCACAGTTCAAGAAGGACACTGACAAACTGGAACGTGTCCAGAGGAGGGCAACCAAAATGGTCAAAGGTCTGGAAACGATGCCTTATGAGGAACGGCTAAGGGAGCTGGGCATGTTTAGCCTGGAGAAGAGGAGGTTAAGGGGTGATATGATAGCCATCTTCAAATATATAAAAGGATGTCATATAGAGGAGGGAGAAAGGTTTTTTTCTGCTGCTCCAGAGGAGCGGACACGGAGCAATGGATCCAAACTACAAGAAAGAAGATTCCACCTAAACATTAGGAAGAACTTCCTGACAGTAAGAGCTGTTCAACAGTGGAATTTGCTGCCAAGGAGTGTGGTGGAGTCTCCTTCTTTGGAGGTCTTTAAGCAGAGGCTTGACAACTATATGTCAGGAGTGCTCTGATGGTGTTTCCTGCTTGACAGGGGGTTGGACTCGATGGCCCTTGTGGTCTATTCCAACTCTATGATTCTATATGTTAAAGTATTGTTCTAAGAAAGATATGCCAATTTTGCTTAGAATAAAAATGTAAAGTATATGTATGAATAGGAAAAGAAAAGAGATAAAAGAAGTACAAATAACGATACATTTGAAGGTGACTCAGAAACTACAACTAATCCAGAATGCGCCTGCCAGACTGGTGACTGGGAGTGGCTGCCCGGACCATATAACCCTGGTCCTAAAGGATCTTTGTTGGCTCCCAGTACATTTCCGGGCACAATTCAAATTGTTGGTGTAGGCCTTTGAAGTCCTAAACAGTTTTGGCCCTGTATACTTGAAGGAGCGTCTCCACCCCCATCATTCAGCCCAGACACTGAAGTCTAGCTCCCAGCACCTTCTGGAGGTTCCTTCATTGTGAGAAGTGAGGTTACAGGAAACCAGGCACAGGGCCTTCTGGGTAGTGGCACCTGCCCTGTGGAACACCCTTCCGTCAGATGTCAAAGAAATAAACAACTATCTGCCTTTTAGAAGACATCTGAAGGCAGCCCTGTAGAGGGAAGTTTTTAATGTTTGGCTGTCTTACTGTGTGTTAATTTGCATCATATATTCTGTGTCCAGGGCAGCTATCTACCAGCTCCATCTGGAACGCAGGCTGAGACCCTACCTGCCAGCAGACTGTCTCGCCAGAGTGGTGCATGCTCTAGTTATCTCCCGCTTGGACTACTGCAGTGCACTCTACGTGGGGCTACCTTTGTAGATGACCCGGAAACCACAACTAATCCAGAATGTGACAGCAAGACAGGTGATTGAGAGTGGCCGCCCAGGCAGAGGGCCTTCTCGGTGGTGGCGCCCGCCCTGTGGAACGCCCTCTCATCAGATGTCAAGGAAATAAAGAACTATCTGACTTTTGGAAGACACCTGAAAGCAGCCCTGTTTTGGGAGGTTTTTAATGTTTGATCTTTTATCATGTTTTTAATATTTGTTGGGAGCTGCCCAGAGTGGCTGGGGAAACCCAGCCAGATGGGCGGGGTATAAATAATAATAATAAATAATAATAATAATAATTACTACACACACACACACACACACACACACAAGCACCAACAGCATCTCTAGTTTCTCCCCTGCCTTACCTTTCGCTGTGGTTGATCAGGCGTTGAAACAACGACAGTGTTGCAAATCGACAGAGCGATGAAGAATTCAGCGATGTACACTATCTCTGGCGTTAGCCCTACCGTCTCAGATATTGTATAGGATTTGAAAGTGATCCTCCTCAACTTCCTTTCAAGGAGTTCATCTGGCACAACATCAGTCTCCTTGTTGGTCAAGCAAAAACAAGGATGGTAAGGTTCTCGTCAAAATTATCTTCCCCCCTCCCCCAAAGGTCATATAGCAATGAGCCCACGCTCCTGGAAGACCCAGCTTTTCAGAAATTTTATTCATTTATAACTCAAGTGCACTGGCCAGTTCTCCAGCATCTCACAACCGTACAACAACAAAAATGCAAATCCGTACATTGCTACAACAGCAATCAAGTACTAAATTGTTTCAAAACGTGACAAGGCAATCTGACAAATAATTAAATTTCATCAAATGACATTTTAAAGTCATCAGAAAACCAATGATCAATCATTAAAACATAGCAAGGAGTGATAAATATAATGAACATTCCAATGTAACTGCATGCCAATGGAGACCGAGGCTGAAAGGCTCGAAGTTCTCCCTGCAGAAAAATCATCCCTTGCGGCAGATGGATTGCTTAGAAGCGTCTTGTGGAACAGCCACTGCCAGGTCACTTTTGGATTGTGAGAAATGCAGTGATATGTAAAGGACCCCTGGATGGTTAAGTCCAGTCAAAGGCGGTTGCAGTGCTCATCTTGATTTCAGGCCAAGGAAGCCAGTATTTGTCCATAGACAGCTTTCCGGGTCATGTGACCAGCATGACTAAACTGCTTCTGGCACAATGGAACACCATGATGGAAACCAGAGCACATGGAAACGCAGCGGTATTTCTTTATCTACTTGCACAGGTGTGCTTTCAAACTGCTAGGCAAACAGAGCAACAGGAGCTCACCCCGTCATGGGGATTCGAACCGCCGACCTTCTGATCAGCAAGCCCCAGAGCAGGGGTAGGCAACCTAAGGCCTGTGGGCCAGATGTGGCCCAATCACCTTCTCAATCCGGCCCGTGGATGGTCTGGGAATCAGCATGTTTTTACATGAGTAGAATGTGTGCTTTTATTTCAAATGCACCTCTGGGTTATTTGTGGGGCATAGGAATTCGTTCATTTTTTTCCTTTCCAAAATATAGTGGGCCCACCACATGGACCGACCTGCGGTTGCAAAAGTCTGCTGACCCCTGCCCCAGAGGCTCAGTGGTGCCTTCATAGGTATGTATGAATAGGTCAGCCAGAAGCCCCCACACAAGTCCCGCGTAGGCTCAAGGAACACACTTACAATTGGGCTGCTGAAGGCCATTTGTGTCGTGCGTGATATACTAGTTCGCAAGGCGGAGGTGGAGCTAAACAAGTGGCTCAAAGACTTTGTACTCTGGAAATAACCCGATTTGCAGGTGGAAAACCTTGACGGACGCTTCAAAGAGGAATGTGAAGCGCGTATTCCTTCTTCATCTTCTTCTTCATCATAATCTAGGTATGATTCTAGCCTCTTAGCTAGACAGAGAGAGAGAAAGAGATCACCCACATGATTCTTTAAAGTAAAATAATGAATCTATGACTGGTCCCGTATTCTCAACCCAAGGAATTCAATGTATTTATTAGTTCTACCCCCACCTTTCCTGCATCACGGAGCCTAAGGTGGTACGAAATAAACAAATAAAGCCATTATGAGCAGCAGCTATGTGCCGCACGCCACTTGCCACTGGTCTTTGTATTATGACCTTCGAGATACTCAACTGATCCCCCATTTTAGCAGTCCCAAGTCAACAGTGAAAGCAAAGACAAGGAATTCCTTGTCCTAGTGGACTTCCTCCCATGACTGGAAAGAGAAGCTGCTGAATTGCAACTCATTACCAAACTTAAAACCACGGAGAGACCTGGTCTGAACAAAGACATTGGATTCTTATCTCATTATACATGACAAAGCCATTTTTCACATTCTCACCCCTTGCTTTTTCCTGTAAGACCTATTGCAGTCGTTAAGAGTCGTCAACAGGCTCATCACAGCTATCTGCCAATCACCCATTCCCACCACCCTTCTGAGTAATACCCCTCCCCACCTTCTCACTATATAGAAGGATCTGGCAACTTCTGTTTCAGTGTATCTGAAGAAGTGTGCATGCACACGAAAGCTCATACCTAGAACTAACTTAGTTGGTCTTTAAGGTGCTACTGGAAGGAATTTTTTTGTTTTTTCCTCCCATGAATCGTTCAGTCGTACCTTGGTTTTCGAACAGCTTAGTTCTTGATCATTTTGGCTCCCAAACACCGCAAACTCAGAAGTGAGTGTTCCGGTTTTCGAACTTTTTGGGAAGCCCAACGTCCGACACTGCTTCCGGTTGAGTGCAGGAAGCTCTGCAGCCAATCGGAAGCTGTGCCTTGGTTTTTTGAACGTTTTTGGAAGTCAAACAGACTTCCGGAATGGATTCTGTTCAAGAACCAAGGTACGACTGTATTTGGCATTTGACGTGGGGAGGGGGGGAGTCAAAACTCAGATCTACAATCAAGGATCATCTTCTATTTACCAAGTTACAGAATTATGAAGAGCTGCAAAACAAGAAAAACAGTGACTTCCCACCTCTATTTTTTTCTTTAATAGCGGTCAGAAATATTCTGACGTGATCATAATATTCAGGTGTTGGGTTTTTTAGCCGGAACTCAGGGGAATGGAGTTTCCTTCCCTTTTAGAAATTAAATAAATTGTTGTTGTTGTTGTTTTGTTGTGGGATGGGGAGCTGGAACGGATATACACCCAATGCCAGAGCCAAAACAACGACAACAACAACATTATTAACCCCACCCATCTGACAGGGTTGCCTCAACCACTCTGGGCAGCTTCCAAGATATTTAAAAACACAAAATCCACTTATATCTGTAATCAATACAGTTGTGGCCATTTCTAATCTAGATCATTGTCTGCTTGAGTTTATTAATCACATCTTACATTTAGACACTGGCCAGGGTGGGGTGGGAAGGCACTGTAGATGGGTCCACAATAAACAAACAAACAAACTTCAGAGTGAGTTCCCCCACCTTTTTCTCCAGAAAAAAGCACTGATAATACAGTGGTGCCTCGCAAGACGAAAATAATCCGTTCCGCGAGTCTCTTCGTCTAGCGGTTTTTTTGTCTTGGCATTTTTTCAGAATAGACAATAGCTTCTTAACCACTGGGGCGGGGAAAATGCAAGTTGATAAGAGCATGAAGACTCTGTGGAGAGAGCCGAGCACAATACAGTGGTACCTTGGAAGTCGAACGGAATCTGTTCCAGAAGTCTGTTCGACTTCCAAAATGTTCAAAAACCAAGGCTGCATAACCCTATTAGCGGATTAGCGGCTATTAAAGGCTTAGCGGCTAAAAGGCTATTAGCGGCTTAGCGGCTATTAAAGGCTTAGTGGCTAAAAGGCTATTAGCGGCTTAGCGGCTTAGAAAAAGGGGGGGAGCGAAAAAAATCGCAAGACTCGCAAGACGTTTCCGTCTTGCGAAGCAAGCCCATAGGGAAAATCGTCTTGCGAAGCGCATCGAAAAACGGAAAACCCTTTCGTCTAGCGGGTTTTATGTCTTGCGAGGCATTCGTCTTGCGGGGCACCACTGTATTTATATGATATGTGCTTGAATGCACATTTTGCTGCATGCATTTCCTAGCAGTATTACTGAAACTTGTACACAAAGCTTTCCAGAGTTAAATTTCCGGAGTTTGCTTGTTTGATTTCAAACAATTTCCCAATGTGCCACTGGAGGGCATCGCCGTCTTCCTAAATGAACGGCCTCAGATACACCGGCCATTTACATGGGGACTGCGCAGTGAGTCATCCTCCGTTGTCATGGATTTGGTTTGTGATTTCATGCAGATTTAGGCCTTGCTGCTTGAAAGGGCAAACTTCTTCAATGATCGCTGCAGAGCTAGACTGATTTATAAAGTACATCTAGTACATGAACGAGCACAGCTTAATTTACCCAATACAAGCCTTACTGATAAATATGTATATATATGATTGAATGGATGAAAACCTGCAATATGCATGTTTACAGTTTCGTTTCTATGGTGCCATCCTAATCAAGGTTTTATGAATTTCCTTAGCATGCACAGGGCCCCAACGGCAAAGCAGTGTGAGCCTGCATGGGATAAAAAGGCATACTCCACATTTTTAAGAATTTTGTGTTTACAGGCCCAACATGCCTGTCGCTTTCTAGCATATCCTTTTATACAGACTACAAGTAATGAGCACAGAACATGAAAAGGTGGACTAAAAAGTGGACTACTAAAGAGATGCCACGGGGGCTATAATAAGATGCTCGTAACTGGCTCCCAATACATTTCTGAGCACAAATCAAAGTGTTGGCACTGACCATTAAAGCCCTAAACGTCCTTGGCCCAGTATACCTGAAGGAACAGCCCCACACCCATCGCTCAGCCCAAATACCAGGGAGGTCCAGCTCCGAATACCTTCGGGCAGTTCCCCCACAGCAAGAAGTGAAGTTACAGGGTACCAGGCAGAGGGCCTTCTTGGCGGTGGCACCCTCCCAGTGGAACACCCTCCCATCAGATGTCAAGCAGATAAAGAACTCCACAACTTTTAGAAGACACCTGAAGGTAGCCCTGGATCAGGTAGTTTTTAATGTTTGATGTTTTATTATGTTTTTACCATATTGGCCTGAGTATAAGTCTCACTCCTCCCCCCCCCAAAAAAAATTCAGACTGTGAAAAGTTAAAGTGCGGCTTAAATTTGTGACCTTACAAAAATGGGCTTTTACAATATCGCTGCTGAAACAGACATACCACAAAATGGAACGGGTGTGAGTGCCTGCGGAATTTTTTTCCCTTTTACCCCCTTGAATTTTAAAGGTGCAGCTTATATTTGGGTGCGGCTTATATTCAGGCCAATATGGTATATGTGTGGGAAGCCACCCAGAGTGGCTGTGGCAACCCAGCCAGATGGGTGGGGAACAACAGCAACGAGACAGTTGATACTGTTTAAATGTACAGGACAGAAAGCCAAGCTTTGGGCACTTCCAAAGCATTGCATACGCCCAATGTGATTTTTAACCACCCCTATACCCACAAGAACAGCATGCTTGATCTGTGGGACACTGCAAACGGCTTCTGTTATTCCCAGGGGTGCACTTCCAAAAGTCCCACTGGACACAAGGAACCAGTAGCGTGGTTCCTTCGATTCAGACTAGAGGCAGTGCAATCATCAGCGGTGGAGCAAGCTGATCAGGCACCTGGGGTAGGGCGCGTGCCCTGTGCCCAGAGGCGGGGCCAGCCACTTGTGGGGGTGGGGTGGGCAAGGGCAGGACGCTTCGTGGGTCCTCCAAGGAGTCTGCCTGCCTCCTCCCACTCAGCTGCCCTACAGCTGAGGGGGAGGTGGTGGGCGGATCATTTGGGGCAGTGCGGAGCCTGCGGGCACCCAAGCCACCGCGTTACTCCCAGGAGAGACGTGTGGCTCGAGCGCGCTGCAGGCCCTGCTGTGAGTGCCGTCCAGCATTTTGTCACCCCCCCTCAGTGGTGACACCCGGGTCAGACCACCCCCACCACACCTCCCTTCCTCTGCCCTTGGCAATCATGTACACACACATGCAGAACTAGGGGTCAACAGCCTAAACCTTAGCCTCTTTTACTCAAGGGGTTAGTAACACTGCTTGCAGTATTATTTCCTTCCAAGTAAGAATGTTAAGGAATGCAGTTTCCTAGACTGTTGGTCTAGGAAAAAAAACAACAATTCAGAGGTATAGCCCACTGGGGGGTTTCCTTCCAAGACTACCGTAGATTCCGGCGTATTAGGCGACTGGGCGTATTAGATGACCAATTTGGGGGTTCGTCTTATAAGCCCAGTCTTATACACTGGGCAGCAGCAGTGGGCGGGCTCTGTGCCGGGAGAAAGCCATACCCGGCGTATAAGACGACCCCTGACTTTTTAACCTATTTTCTGGGGTTAAAAAGTCGTCTGATACGCCGGAATCTACAGTATTTGTAGAATTGCAGCCTTAACAAAGTGCAATCTTTTGCGCTTAGGTGTAAGCCAAGTATGTTTAGGATTGACGCCTGAGACTGCAGTCCTGGTACAAAAGCAGCTTTCTCCCGCAGCCTTACCGTTCTCTTCATGACCGTATTCCATCCCCGCAATGCTGCATCTTCGGAAAACCATTTTGTTCTCAGTGAGGGTTCCGGTCTTATCAGAGAAAACGTACTCAATCTGCCCAAGGTCTTCGGCAATATTCAGTGATCCACACCGGATCCCGGTGTCCGTCGGTTCATGGTACAAATCAAGATCATTCCGGATAAAATAGATTTGCCCCAATTTGACAAATTCAATGGAGACATAAAGAGAAATCGGGATCAAAACCTGTCAAGGCAAGAAGCGGATTTAGTATGGCTTGCTCACGAGGACAGATCCTGCCCTCAACTGCACCAGAAAACGAACCCAAAATCCTAATATGAGGGGGTAAGGTTGATCCGACAGGGATCACTGAGACTCGGCGGAATGAGACCCGTGACTGGAGTTGGCTAGCAGAAGGGTGTATCTTGCTAAAAATCAACAGAACGGAAGAGGAACAGTATGCCGTTATCAAAAATAAGTCACCCTAGACTAACCACATCTGCTGTTTCGATAGTTACTGGTTTGGCAAACCGTGAGAAGGCCGTGGGCATAGTGTATCTTGATTTCAGCAAATCATTTGAGAAAGTCTGTCATGGGCTTGCCAAGATTAATGTTAGGTTAACTCACAGGCGGTTGTACAACTGCACCCAACTACTGCTTGTTAATAGCTCTACATTAACTTGGATAAAGGTCCCAAGTGAAGTGCCACAAGGTTCTGTAAGTGACTTGGAAAAGGATGTAATATCATCATCATCATAAATTTTATTTATACCCCGCCCTCCCCAGCCAAGACCGGGCTCAGGGCGGCTAACACCAGGTATAAAAACAATTGATTGAAATACAACTTAAAAACAAGATTAAAATACAACATTAAAATGCAGCCTCATTTCAGTAGAAACTCAAATCAAAAACTTTTTGGGGGATGAAAACGTTGTCTTCACCAAGGCCAACTATCCAGACTGGTCCTACATGGACCAGAAAAAAGCAAGGGAAGTCCCCAAATAGGAGTTCCATCACAGAAGGAGAAAGGAAAAAGGAAAGAGGGGGAGGGGATCAAGTTGATTCCAAGCCAAAGGCCAGGTGGAACAACTCTGTCTTACAGGCCCTGTGGAAAGAAATCAGATCCTGCAGATGTTTATCAGATCCTGTAGCCAGATGTTTATCAAATATGCAGCTGATACAAAGCTGGGACAACCAGCTTGGCAGTAGACAGAACCAGGATTAAAGTAAGAACTCAAGACTGTTACCCAACTATGATGTAGGTGGCTCCCCACTAATGCGGGGGTTACATTCCCAGGTGGTACATGTAGACGTGAAATCACGTATAGTGGGGAACACCGTCTAAAAAGCTTGTAAACATCATCAAAACCTCTGGGAACCCTTGAAAAACACTATTAAAAATGAGACTGAAAGGTTGGTGCAAATGCTCCTGGATTGGTAGTTGGTTTTTCTGCTCTATTCAGGCCGTTTTTGCCCTTTATTGCAGTTAAAATAGATTGATTTAATTATTTCCCTGCACTGCACATATACGCGTGGGAGTCAAACACACGTAAGCGAGGAGACCTCTGTATATGCAAAGTCCTGAATTTAGCTACAAAAGAACAACGGATGTATAAAAGATCTAGGCCAGGGATTACCATTGTGGTGTCATCCAGATGTTGTCGACTATGAAACTTATAGGTGATACAGCCATCATTCCTGCGCATTGGCCATGCTGCCTATGGCCAACAGCAGCTGTAGTCCACAACATCCCAAGGGCAGCCCATTGGCTAATCCTGATCTAAGCATCTCAGCTGATCCTAAATTGACTATGAGCCACCCATATAACATGAGTGCTGAAAAAACACTAATCCAATTTTTGGCTGCTTTTCCAGAAGCACAGGGCCCAGATCACAAGAGGCAGTAGTTCCGTTCTATTTATAATTATTATTATTTCTGTATTTCTCAGTTGCATCCAGAGTACTGTCTCTAGGTTTCAGTGCGCCACATTTTAAGAAGGGTGTGGAGAAACAAGGGGGCGTCCAGAGGGTTGGATGGCCATATGTCAGGGAAGTTGCACCTTGCATTACAGATCCTGCACTGAGCAGAGGGGCTGGACTAGATAAGCTCCAATGTCCCTTCCACGGTTCTACAATTCTTTAAAAAAAAAGCTCTGGAACACACCTATTAAATTCAAGTTACTTTGGCTCTCTAGTACAGTAGTATTAAAGAATGCAGCACCAACCAAACCACGAACTTACCTGCAATAAAATTATCATTGTCCAGAACATAAAAAACGCTCCCATTGCTGGAGCAATTTGCTTCCCGCTACTATAGAGAGGTGGGTCTGGATGGGCACCTAGCCAAAACCCGTGACCTTTTTAAAAAGAAGATAAAGAATCCATTAACAAAATCAAAACTATGAATGGCACTGCGTTCCAAGGCAGTGACCAGGCTTCCCCAACCTGGTGCCTCCTCCAGATGTTTTGGACAACTCTCGTCAGGCATGCTGATCTGGAGGGCACCAGGTTGGGGAACGCAGACAACAAAGTTATCAATCAGCTTCTAAACTGCCCTGGCTTTATATATTAAAAATCATCTAAAAAATAAGCTGATGAAGGTTGCAATCCTATACATAAAGGTAAAGGTAAAGGTACTCCTGACAGTTAGGTCCAGTCGTGGACGACTCTGGGATTGTGCGTTCATCTTGCTCTATAGGCTGAAGGAGCCGGCGTTTGTCCACAGACAGCTTCCGGGTCATGCAACCAGCATGACTAAGCCACTTCTGGCGAACCAGAGCAGCGCACGGAAACACCATTTACCTTCCTGCTGGAGTGGTACCTATTTATCTACTTGCACTTGACATGCTTTCGAACTGCTAGGTGGGCAGGAACAGGGACCGAACGATGTGAGCTCACCCTGTCGTGGGGATTCGAACTGCCAACCTTCTAATCGGCAAGCCCTAGGCTCTGTGGTTTAGACCACAGCGCCACCCGCGTCCCCCAATCCTATAGATGCTCCCTTGTTAAAAAAAACCTCACTAGATTCAGCATGACTTTTTTTCCTGAGCAAAAATGCCTCAGAGCATACAGTACTATTAACTTGCTATACTTTCAGAAACCTATAACACATTCAGATGCTGTACATTTAAAGCAAACATCCCCCCCCCAAAAAAAAGAATCATGAGAATTGTAGTTTGCCCCTTCACACAGCTATGGTTCCTGGCACCCTTAATGAACTATGGTTCCCAGGGTTCTTTGGGGCAGAGCCGTGCTCTTTAAATATACGATGCGGGTGAAAAATCATGCAAGGCTTGTGTTATTCACTTTATTTATACACCAGCAGAACAATGAAATAAGTATTCAAGATTTCAAAGCAGCTGTAGCTGTATTTATATAATCTGATGCCTGATCATTGTAACCGGTGATAGCAGGAATCAAACCTGGGAGCTTCTACAGGAAAAACATGTGCCTCTACGTTATGATGGCAAATGAAGCCAGTGATACTTTCATAGCAGCCCCATCTGCATTATACACTGAAAGCAGAATCAGGCATTCAGCAAAGAACCCTGGGAAATGTAGTTTGTTAAAGGTGATATGAGAGTTGTTAAAGGTAAAGGGACCCCTGACTATTAGGTCCAGTCGTGGCCGACTCTGGGGTTGCGGCGCTCATCTCGCTTTATTGGCTGAGGGAGCCGGCGTACAGCTTCTGGGTCATGTGGCCAGCATGACTAAGCCGCTTCTGGCGAACCAGAGCAGCGCACAGAAATGCCGTTTACCTTTCCGCCGGAGAGGTACCTATTTATCTACTTGCACTGGTGTGCTTTTGAACTGCTAGGTTGGCAGGAGCAGGGACCGAGAAACGGGAGCTCACTCCGTCACGGGGATTTGAACCGCCGACCTTGTGATCGGCAAGTCCCAGGCTCTGTGGTTTAACCCACAGCGCCGCCCATGTTCCTATCATGAGAGTTGTTAGGAGAGACCCTTATTCCCCTCACACAGCTGATTTCCTAGAGGTCCCTGGGAAGAGGGACTGGCTGTTAAACCATTCTTGAGAACTGTAGCTGGGAACAGGGGCCTCCTAACAACTCTCAGGACCTTTAGCAAACTACAGTTCCCAGGATTCTTTGGGGGAAATCCGTGACTGTTAAAAGCGGTACAAGACTACTTCCAATGTATGGCACAGATACGGCCACTGTAAATCATACAACTAAAAGCGGCGCTTCAGAATAGAGCTCTCCATAAACGGGAGTCAAATAGAGGACACTTAGGATGCAGATTGAACCCCTATTGTCCCATCTGCAGCGTTGAAATAAGAATCGGTTGCCAGTCTGGTCAACTTCCGTGCATGGAATCCCAGTGGGGAGAGACGCCATTTTGCTTTTCACCTCAGGCAACGTAAGGTCTTGGGACCCAAAAATAAAAATAAAAATGCTAAACTCCATTAGAAAAACCCTTAAAGCATAGAGTCCTAAACAGACGTATGGAGAGAGAATACCCTATTTTGTAGAGTGGATCTTAACTCTTCACTTACCCACGGCCCCTATAGAGCACATCACAACTAGAAGCAGAACACACCAGATGATGTCTTTGTTTACGCTCTTCTCTAGCTTACTTCGCTTGTACCGAAGCCCTGTGTTGTTTAACATTGCCTTGGTTTCGTGACCTTTCGACAACACAAAACACGTCAGAGCTTTTAATGCAAACTGAAACAATTAAAACTGCACCCCGCCAAGGATAGACACTGGTGTTATAACTTTTGCAAAGTTTGGCACCCTAGTCCCATGATGCTTACTAGATACAAATGGCCGCTTGGACTGGAGAAGAGTGGAGGAAATCCCAAGGGCCAAAATTCCCTAATTGGACGCCTGATGGTAGCTACGCAGAGTCAGCATACAGCCAGCCAGGCAGAAATCAAAGCTGCAGAAGGCCTGTGCTAGCTTAAGGAAGTAGTTTGAGTTAAATAATGGGCTGGGGAGGAAGTTGCTTCTGCAGCCAGTCACACCGTGTCATCTGCACCAGACTGAGTGCTTGGGCTTTCCAGTTGCCCGTCGCTACTCCCATTTGACCAAGAAGTAAAACAAAAACCAAAACCTGGATGCTATGCAAATAGGGGCAGGCTCTGTTCCCAGTGGCTCCTTGGAAAGAGGGCATTTTTGTTTATGGTGCCCTAGTTGTCAAACACACACACACTCTCCAGGGAGGCTAGCCTAGAGCCTAAGACATTAACGTCTGTTACATGCCTGGCAAAATCCTTTTTATTTCCCAAGGATTAACAACTCTGCAATTGTTGATTTTAACCCACTATGATAAAATTATAGCACTGTGCTTTTTATTGCTGTAAACTGTTTTATGGCTATGAAATGCCCGAGACATTTTGAACTGGAGGAAGGCACAGGAATGTTTTAAATATTGATCTTTATATAAAGAATTCTGTGGAACAACTGGGAGGAGGGGAAATTGATGTGAGGAGACACTGATTTTAGGAGCCTTTGCTATTTATTGGACCTCCCTTCCAACCTTCACTTGGCATCATAATGGATTAATCCTCTATATTTAACAGTTACACCCCTAGAATAGACTTTATCGCACGAAGTATTAGGCTGCACCCAACCAAATCCTTAGAGCGTTATTTTTATTATTACTTATTTTTTATTAAATTTGTGTCCCACCCTTCATCTGTAGATCACGGGGCGGTTTACGACATAAAATTACAATATGAAAATCATAAAACACATAGCAAAAATAAGAACGATGACGAACCAATAATCCACCCTCCCATTTAAAAAGGGCATCAGATATCAATCAGCCCCAAGGCCTGGAAGAAGAGGAACATTTTTGCCTGGTGCCTAAAGATATGTAATGAAGGCACCGGCCGAACCTCCCTGGGGAGAGCATTCCACGGGAGTAGAATCCCCTGAAATTCATTGGCTGTGTCTATCATTTCAATGGTTTACTCTGAGTAACATTGGGGACAACCCTTTGTGTTTTGCTAGGGATGGCAATGAACGGCTTCATTTCTCAGGCCCTGCAAACCAGCAACATCTAGCCAGGGCACTGACCTGCATACACCACAATGCCAACAACAACTGTTGTATTTCTGATGGTGCATCCTCTCATCAGCAAGTTGTCCTTGCTCAGGCCCACTCGTTCATTATCTGGGTGCTCCCTGTAAAGACAAATCCAGCTGTGATGGTTATTTGCCTAGAGACACTCAAGACACTCTTGTTCACAAAGGCTCCACAAACACTGCCAACACCCACGGACAAGACAGTCAAAAGAATATATCCTAGAGCAGTCTTTGACAACCTGGTGCCCTCTAGATGCTGTCAGGCTAGCTAGGACTGATGGGACTTGCAGTCCAACTTGGTGTCCAAAATTAGCCAGAAGCCAGACATGTTTTGCTTTCAACCACTTGCAACCAAACTGAGATGCCTGGGTGCTAGGACATTGCCACCATCTTGAGATCATTGGATCTAGACTGTTTTCATCAACTAATACGCCACCTTGTAGAATTCTATCAGCTATATTTTATCCGCACAAACGGAATGAATTTCTGGAACCAAATGGCTTTTTCTGTGCAGCCTGAGCAGGAGCAGAGACAGTTAAGATAAAGAGGTCGGAATACAGCAAAATATATGTGGACTGTCCCAGGATCAAGTGACTTTCCTTCTTCTCAAAGTCGTTAATCCAGTTCAAGGTTGCCATCTGAACTAGAAACAGAAGTTCAACTGAGAATCAATCACAGTCAGCCCATCGTTTGAAAAACAAGACTTTAGAGCTGTCTTGCCCCAAAATGGCAACCAAACGTTCTGTTTTGGTGACTGCAACCTTGGCTTCAGGAGCCATTTGTTGCCCAGATTATATATCTGATTTTCAACAAATTTGGAAGACACCAAGTTGGTGAAGGCTGTCCTAGAGCATCTTGCCTGCATTGAAAACATCTCCAAGTGAGGAGGCTTGGTGTGTTTGGGCTAGTGATTGAGAGGAAAGCCTGACAAGGGCACTTTCAGCGCAATCCCTCATTGGTGTTTGAATTGTAATACAGTGGTACCTTGGTTCTCAAACGTAATCCGTTCCAGAAGTCCGTTCGACTTCTAAAACATTCGAAAACCAAGGCGTGGATTCCGATTGGTGCAGGCGCCCTGGAAACAATAGCTGACAACCGCATCGGACGTTTGACTTCCAAAAAATGTTCCAAAACCGGAACACTTACTTCCTGGTTTGCGGTGTTCGGGAGCCGAAATGTTTGAGTACCAAGGTGTTTGAGAACCAAGGTTCCACTGTAAATCAAATTCATTGGCATATGGTGTCAGGCTGTGATACAAATACTTTGATAATGTAGCCTAATAATGTAAAGTTGCTAATAAGCTTTCCAACTTCAAGCTGGGAGCTTCCCTTGACTCTGAAGTTGAGGGCTTTCCATGGGACCAAGAGCTTGCATAGCTGGCAAACAAGATTTGCCAGGAAGCCACTTTGACAAAGGAGTGAAGGCCCAAAAATTCATCCGCGAAGGCAATCTGCTGTCAAGTCACATCCCATAACCATTTGTGCCTTCCACCCCAGTCACCTCTGCGAGGAGAATAATCAAGAGCCAGAAAGTGGCTTGGTATGGCCTGGAGACTGCTAGCTGCTGCTCTTCACTTTAATACGAGTGCTATAATATTTTATCAAGCAGAGAGAGCAGACAGAGCTTACCCCAAATTACTTACATAAACCCCCGGAACCTGGTAAGATCATTGTTTGGCGCCTCACACTCTATCCTGCTTGCGAAATTTTCCGGATCAACTTCAGTTTCCTAGATACAAATGGGGGGGGGGAGGGAGAGAAGGGGGGAAATGGAGCTCAAACGTGGGATGCAGCAACTTCGTTAAAGTAATGAATTATTGCATCAGTTCTTTGCATGCCTATCTGCACTGGTTGGCATGACAACCTGAGGTAAAAATCCAGGTACTGCTAAATCTAGATTCTCAGAGAACTGAGCAGGTTCACAGGAAGCCCTGCTTTCCTGCTTATTGGGTGCAAGAAAAAGTAAAACCCGCTCTGAGGTGACTGAGAAGAGTCTCTTCAATGGCTGAAAAAAGGGCAGAAGTTGCTGGTACAGACCTCTGCCCAAGAAAGTTGGTGGTTTATCAGAGGGAAAGAAAATGGCTCAGACAGACCCAAGGCCTCACTCGGTTTAATCAAGCCCCATATGCCACATAAATAAGAATTGGTTGGTTACTTTATGACATCGTGACAGAAATGTAATTGACAAATAAGCACTGAGAAGGGATAGAGATGTAAAATTTCCGGAAATTTTGAAGCCATGAGAAAAAAAAGTTTCCCCTCATAAAAAACAGAAATTTTGGAAAAACTGAAGAAAAAAAAGTTCAGTGTGGAGTAGTTTTACAAATTGTGTGAAACACAGTGTATATAAAAGTATCATGCTCACAATAAGACAGGTAACCACCCCCCCTTTCCCTCAAAAGCAACAAAAAAAGCAAGAAACCATCGACATAAAAAATAATCAGATTTGCCACTTAGCACCAACAGCAAATAAAGTTAAGGTCCACCTCAATATTTAAGCTCCATAGAAGGTCTACCCTTTGAGTAGTGCTTTTTAAAAAAGAAAGAAACAGAAGACACAACATATACATGCAGTTTATTGTATCTCATTTCCTTAACTACTGCTATCATTTTCCATTTCTTCTTCCTCTTTGTCATTTTTCTCATGGACTTCTAAAAAACGGAAAAAAACCAGTGTCCCCCCCCCCCCCATTTTTCTGGGTTTTTTCCAGGCCTTCCCATCTCTACTCAAGGACAGTCGGGGAAAAAAGCATGAGGCAATTTTTTTTGCATGCCAGGCCCAGAAGTAACCAACATCCAGTTACTGAAGAGTAAGTTGCACTAAGGCTCAAACTCTGTTTGAAAGGAAAAGGAGTGTGTGTGTTTTTTTAAACTGAATTTGTTATTATATATTATAAACCGCATGATGGTAAGAGAGCTTCTAAACAGTTTACAAAAATATACAACAGAACATTAAAATGATTGATAAAACACAGTTAAAAGCGAGTATTTAAGAGTATTCAAAATATGATTAAAGTCAGCAGTGGTTAAAAGGAAGTAAATCGCATGCAGCTTCTATGTGTTCAGATGGGCCAGCCCTAACGAAAAGGTTTTGAGCAGTTGCTGGAAAGAGTACAGTGAGAGCACCTGCCTGGTGTCCGTCAGAAGGGAGCTCCAAAGTATGGGTGCTGGAAGGACTGGGGGGGGGGACAGAAAAATTGGGGGGGGGCAACAGGTTGTGTTTTTTTCAAAGCGTTTTTTTTTCAGGAAAAAATGAAAAAAAAAGTGTGCGGAATATTCAAACTATATCAAACTTCTTTTTTTCAATTTTTCCGGGGGAAAACGGCTTTGGAAAAAAGCCACCCCCCCCATTTTTCCCAGGTCCTCTCATCTCTAAGAAGGGAGAAGTTTTTATTTTAAGGTAGAAGAGTCTACCTGTTAGTGACTCCTTTGACTATCTATCTAGTCATTGCATATGACTATTTATTACATTGTACTCCCCCCCCCCCCAGCAGTGGCGTAGCGTGGGTTGTCAGCACCCGGGGCAAGGCAAGTAATTTGCACCCCCTAACCCGTGGATTTGCGCCCCCTAACCCTAACCCCCAGATGTTGCGCCCGGTGCGGCCGGCCCCCCCTGCACCCCCCACGCTACGCCACTGCCCCCCAGTATATAGAATACTTCTCCCTCAGCCACTGTTCTCCCCTCTGTGAAACAGGATATATTAATAGTGCATATCATAATTGTAGGATAAATCACCTGCATGGAGAGCTTCTTATACAACAAGAAAACTAATAATGAGGAACATTCTCAGCTGCAGTGAATGTCCAAATTGTGGTGAATGTCAACATTTACCAAGGTGTGTGTGCCTTTGTGTGTGTATGCAGTGTTTTTTTCTAGAAAAAAGAGGTGCCGGAACTCACCACGAACACCTCCCTTGTCCTCTTATAATGGTAATGGCAATGGCACCAACCCGACAGGTGCCGGAACTGAGTTCTGGCTGGAAAAAAAAGCCCTGTGTGTGTTTCTGGAATGACATTGTGAATCACAAAGGTTGATGCCAGAAGGAAGAAAATTGGTGTTGTTTTTCTGTGTGTGCTGGGAGGAGAGGTATCCTGGAGACAGAATGAGTAGAGCCAGGAGCCCGAAATCAGTACAAAGAGAACTGTCAAAAACCATTGAAGTTTATAGGATTCCCCCGATATGGATTATACACAGACTTTCTCCCAAGAAGTGGCCATTTATACCTGATCGCCAAATCCTCTCACAACCTGTCTCTGTTTCAGGTTGGTCTCTCCATCAAGGCTTGATGTTTCAATGTGACAGATCCCATCTCCATCACTAGTATATATCAGCACCATGTCAGCGGGAATCTCCTCATTACACAACAGTCGGATAAAATCGCCAACTTTAACATCTTTCCAGAACTTCTCGACATATGCCTTTTTATTTCTGGGGAGGAAAAAACAGGGGGCGGGGGGGCAAGACCCATTTTTTTTCAAAAAATGATAAAACGAAACACAAAAAGCAATAAACCACCATGCATTTAAAAATCCATCCGTTTCTCAAGGAAGTAAACAAAAGCATTTATAAGGCAGTCAATTCAATTTTGACTTTACATGTACGTAGGAAAATCTGATATCAACAGTCACATCTAACTATGCATGTTCGGAGTATTTCCTGGTATAAAGAAATTCAAAAGTGTTAATGTTTTAAACCTTTTAAAATGAAGTCTGGATTGTCTGTAGCTTGCACACAATAGTATTTCATTTAGGTGAGGCTCTGACTATGTGCAGCCGCAGGGGTCAGCAAACTTTTTCAGCAGGGGGCCGGTCCACTGTCCCTCAGACCTTGGGGTGGGGGGGCTGGACTATATTTTGAAGGGGGGGGGGGAATGAAGGAATTCCTATGCCCCACAAATAACCCAGAGCTGCATTTTAAATAAAAGGATGCATTCTACTCATGTAAGAACACGCTGATTCCTGGACAGTTTGCAGGCTGGATTTAGAAGGTGATTGGGCCAGATCCGGCCCCCGGGCCTTAGTTTGCCTACCCATGGTGTAGAGTCTGTGTGTGTGTGTTTCAGTAGCATTGCTGTGACACTTGACTCCCTCTTGACATTAACTACCTCTGCAATCCACACAAAAGTCACTGTCGTGAATACATGGTGGTATATACAGAGTTTGATGTACATGGCTGCATTTGAACGAGGCAGCACCTCAAATTTCGCCATGTGAGATTACAACACAATTCCTGCAATTCTCCAAACTAACAGGATTTTCCTGGAAACAACTAAGGCAGAAATGAGCGCTAAACTTCTGCGAGATATTGCTAGATTTCCAGAAGTGGCTTTTGCATAATAAAACGTGTAAATTAGCAGGTAAGGAAACATTGGGAAGGCAGAATAATGTGCCGCAACACTCCCCCCATTAAAACCATCTCTGGTCCCTTACAGGAGGCCTCGCTCAAGGTCACCCTCTACTGGCAACTAGACACCAGTCAAGCTGGCAAAAAAATTATCCCTCTCTCCCTCTGCTTTTGATTGATGTTAGAAGGGCTGTGGAAAACTTGGTTCATTTATTCACGTTTGGTGGGAATGCCCCCATGTTGAAAAACTTTTGGAATGGAGCATTCCCCTTTAGATCCAGTAAACACTTAATGGTAAATTTACCTGGAAATTCTGAAACTGTTTATCTCAAGTACAGTGGTACCTCGGGTTAAGTACTTAATTCGTTCCGGAGGTCCGTTCTTAACCTGAAACTGTTCTTAACCTGAAGTACCACTTTAGCTAATGGGGCCTCCCGCTGCCGCCAGAGCACGATTTCTGTTCTCATCCTGAAGCAAAGTTCTTAACCCGAGGTACTATTTCTGGTGTTAGCGGAGTCTGTAACCTGAAGCGTATGTAACCTGAAGCCTACGTAACCCGAGGTACCACTGTATCTTCCTGAAGATAAGACAAATGATATTACCCTGGCCATAGCCAAATTTCTCTCAGAAGTACTAAGAATTCAAAATCAACATGCTCTGGATAAATCCACATAATGACCGTCTTGGAATCTTTTATTGTATTCCTGCTGTATTTTGCTTTCGAAACTGCCTTGGTGGGTCTTTGGACCCTAATAAAGAATATATCTATGTCCATTACATCCACAATCACAGGCCAACCCCTTCCTCCAAATCCTGCCTTGGCCCTACTATCTTTGGACACAGACTTGGGCTCCACCACAGAGAACTAGTAGACTTCTTACTGACCGTAACACAATTAGGGATAGCTCAACAATGGAGGAACCAGAATGAAATAGCCCGGAACATATGGGGAAATAATATCTGGGATACAGCAATGTTTGAGCGTCTCGCCAGACACGGAAGAGCAATTATAGAGGCATAATGAACAGAGACATTTTCCAAGAAACGTGGACCCCTTTCACATTCAATTGATTTCAAGGGCAACTCTACCTACAAGACTTGAGTTATGAATGAATGAATGAATGAATGAATGAATGGATTTATTTTGGTCACTGACCAGATGGTGCTATGTTTCAGTGCTATGTGCTTTTTTAAAACCTTATGTGCTAACTTTTAAATGACTGGCCTATCTGACAATTAGATGTCTATCCCTCACAACGGTTTACTGAAGTTTTTTTTAAAAACACTTTTGCTTTTATTTTTCAAACTTTTAAAAATGATTTTACTGTGTGGTTTTATGTATTTATATCGTTGTAAACCGCTGCGATACATTTCTACAATACAGCAGTAGATAATTATTTTAAATAAGTTAAATAATCAAAACCACTTGAGCTCCTGTAGTTTGAATGTTGCAGAGCTCCAGAGAGTTTCTCGTCCTATTCTTATTATGTAGCAATAAAGGGCAATTGCATTTGAGAGACCTGCTCCTTCCAGATTTGATTTTCCTGATACCCCAAATGCAACAACTTGCTTAGAAATTGCATGCCACCGATCTGTCAACTAGAACTTGGCATTTGTCAGCATCATGGAAACAATATGTAAACAAGACTGAAAGCATGTTAATTATACTTAACTAGAATATGAAAACTAGCTGAGACCCAAAGGCTCGTGGTATATTTGTTTGTTTTTAAAAAGAGGATAGAGGAACCACTGCACAAACAAACAAACAACAGTTTTTTCCCCTTGGGCCCAAAAATTTGTATAGGCGAACATTCAACAGACTGCAAGCCTAAAAGGAGAAGCCACAAAGGACAGAGGACATTCACTTTTTTTGTATTTTCCTGCTTCCCCAAAAGCAAGGGAATCAAAAGCAGAGAAAAGGAGGATGGAGGAGCAGCACAGTCTAAAAATATTTAGTACAAGTCAGTTGCCTACTTCCTTTCCTAGATGGTTATCACTGGTTTTCTAAGAGGACATAAAAATCAATGTGCAAAATCGATACAGCAGTATAGGTACAAAACACACTAAAGCTGCATTAATGTCTGCCAAGAGCCTCTTGACTCCCAAAACAATACCGTTAAACTGTAATTACCACTTTTAAGCAGCGCACATTTCCTAAAACGGATAATGAGTTCAAGGCCCTATCAAGAGCTCAATCTGAAAATATTTTAAATTCAATTTGCACACAGCCAATGTTACGCATGTTAATATATTCTCAAAGGCCAAATCTTGGCTTGAAATGTGCAAAGCCAGTATGAAGGGGAATCAAGGGGGAGCGTATCTGTGGTTCCCTCCATAAAAAGGTAAAGGTACCCCTGACCGTTAGGTCCAGTCGCGGACGACTCTGGGGTTGCGGCGCTCATCTCGCTCTATAGGCCGAGGGAGCCAGTGTTTGTCTGCAGACAGCATCCGGGTCGTGTGGCCAGCATGACTAAGCCACTTCTGGCGAACCAGAGCAGTGCACGGAAACACCGTTTACCTCCCCGCAGGAGTGGTACCTATTTATCTACTTGCAGTTTGACGTGCTTTCGAACTACTAAGTGGGCAGGAGCTGGGGCCGAACAATGGGAGCTAACAACAGGAATTCGAACCGCCGACCTTCTGATCGGCAAGTCCTAGGCTCTGTGGTTTAGACCACAGCGCCACCCGCATCCTTTGCTGGTACCCTCCATACCTGGCTGGTATTTCTGCATTTTGCAGCCCAGTGTGAGGGAGAGCTGGATCTGGTGCAATGTGTGTTCCCACCCCACCCCAGTGCTAAGGCAGGTTCATTATCGTCTGGGAAATGTAGTACTGTACAGCACAATCATCTATAAAGAGCCAATTACCAATTGCTTCAACATATAGCCAATCTGAATTATGTCTCCTCAGAAGCAGATTGGGATTCAAGCCCTTAAACGGCAGCAAGGTGGGGAGCTAGTCAATGGCCGTTGTGGCATATCAGCTTAAGCACAGGAGGAGAATGCGAGCACCGTTTCATTCTCTTCCCCCACATCCCCAAACAGGAAAAGCTGCCTATACGTTTCCGACAACTATTCACATTGCTATTTTTTTAACCTGCCAAACCTTAGAAGTCTTGGAACCAGGTTTCATGAAAGACTGCCTTCCTCTATATAATCTTACCCAAGAACTGGAATCGCCTACAGAGGCCTCTCTTGTTGTATGTCCAGATATTTACAATGCGACTATAGAATAATAGAAACGTAGAGTTGGAAGGGACCATGAGGGTCATCAAGTTCCTGGAGTCCAAAATGTATGGAGGGCACCAGACTGGGATAGGTTGGCTTATGGCAAACACAGCAGCTGCACGCCCCACTCACAATCACCCATGGTAGATAGGACTGAAAACCACAAAGAGCCACAAAAGGAGCCACAGGGTATCACCCTGCACCGAGGAGGGTGGGCGGCAGCATCGCCACCCATTCTCCTGCTCCCCTACCCTGGGTCAGGCCTGACCCGAGGGTGGAGCTGTGGCCAGGCATGAGTGCCGCAGCCAAGGTGCAGCTCCTTCTTGCTCGGAGCCTGCTGTGGGGGCGCCTGTTTGCACCTCCGCACAAAATTGTGCCCGGGACCACGGTCCCCCCCCCCCACTATGCCTCTGACTGCACCCATCAATTGTGGGATGTAATCCACTGGGAGCAGTCAAGTACAACATTCCTTATTTTGCTAGAGCGGCCATGCAGGAGATGTTGGTCCAGCCACTTGAGCGTCCTGTTCCTCTTGGCCTGGAGCATCCTTCCTTGCATGTGACTAGTAGGTGGGCGTGACCTTTCCAGACCTGGTAAAAGGCCAAGTCATGCAGCCACCTTCCTCTCTTTGATATTTTTTTTGTCCTGCGAACTTCCAGATTCACCTGGACAGTACTGCTGGCTGCCTTCCCGTCGGAGCAGTCCCCCAGGTTATCTCCCATATGGGGTAAACCAGTTTGTAACACACTGTGCTCTGCCTGATCGTGAGTAAAACTACTTTTTGTTACTTATGAATAAGACTGTTGTGTCGTTATTCTTTTAGGATGGATTAAAGGGGGTCTTACCAGGAATAACAGAACATATCTCAATCTGGGCAAGCCAAATTGAATTGCTTCTTGTTGTATGAGACTCACACGAGTTTGAAACCAGCTTTCTGCTGCGTAAAAGGGGAATGCACTCTGCTAAGTAAAGAAGCTTGCTAACGTGAGTTAGGGAGGATAATATTAATCAATATATCCTCTCCTGCCACCCTCAACATTCCCACATCAATCTCTCAACACAGGTCATCTACCAGGGCGGCCAATGCAGTTTCAGCTTCAAAACTGGACTGGAAGCCAGGATAAAATGGATCTAATTATTCAACTTCATGTTTATATTTGTCAAAGGCAATGGTAATATTATTTCTGATTTACTTACCTACAATAGACTTGAGTCACTATGTTGTTTATTTTTTTGTCCAACTGGTATTTTGCGTAATCCTCGACACCATCTTTCACAGCAATAATTGTGAGAACCACAACGAGAGGGATCATGGTGATTTCTTTCCTGAAAGCTTCCACCACTGGAACCCAGTTCAGCAGAACTATAAATAAGAAATATAAATTGGCAGCTCTGGAAAACACAAACACAGCAACCCACAGGATGTTAGTGTCAGCCATTGACGCGAGTGTTAAAAAAAAAAAGTGTCTGAAGCTTGATATGACACACCTAAGTGAGAAGCAGTTGACTTCAAATTAGTATTCAGCTCATTAAGGATGGTTAAGTTGATATTAAAGCAAAGTATGGGCATGCATGTTATGACTAGGCATTCACTCCATGGGGCTAATGGCAGAAAAGATCCCACAACACTAGAGTAAAATCAGAAAACGTGTCCCAATTAATCAAAGCAACATTACACAAAACCACAAAATGCAGCTCTTCTCCCACAACCATTATGCTTCCAAATCACCTTTTCTGTTTTCTCTTTTCTGTTTTATTATGTTTAAAATTACAGTCCAAACCTGAGGCTTCAGGACATAGGTGCTTAGGATAGGGTATACCAGGGTTAGCCAACCAGGTGCCGTCCAAATCTTCTTGACTATGGTTCTCACCTGCCCCTACCTAGCATGATCAATGGCCAGGAATGATGAGAGTTGTAGTCCACCACATTGACTACACCCGGGGGTACATCAACAGTTACATTAAATTCAAAACGTGACATTATGCCAGTATCTCATGCAACTAGATAGAGGTAAAGGGACCCCTGACCATCAGGTCCAGTCGTGGCTGACTCTGGGGTTGCGGCGCTCATCTCGCTTTATTGGCTGAGGGAGCCGGCATACAGCTTCTAGGTCATGTACGTACAAGGCATTCAAGAACCAAGGTACGACTGTGTTTTCATCCATTACCGTTGCTGTGAACAGCCACTCTGCATGCATTTAAGCTTTAACTGAATTATTACAGCCTGTGCTTTTTGCATTTAATTACCATTCAGTTGTTTAGTGCCACCTAAGTTTAACGCTTCGTGTGTTTGATGCCAAAATAAATATTTAGTCTTACATCATCATTACAGTGGTACCACTGGTTATGAACTTAATTCGTTCCGGAGGTCCGTTCTTAACCTGAAACCGTTAACCTGAGGTACCACTTTAGATAATGGGGCCTCCAGCTGCTGCTGCTGCGGCGCGATTTCTGTCCTCATCATGGGGCAAAGTTCTTAACCTGAGGTACTACTTCTGGGTTAGCGGAGTCTGTAACCTTAAGTGTTTGTAACCCAAAGTGTTTGTAACCCGAGGTACCACAGTATTTATTAAATTTGTATATCTCAGGACAGCTCACAGCGTAGATGCCACAACACACTTTGATGTTCATTACTGTAACAAACTACCATTGCTTTCACTCTGAATGTTGCAAACAATACTATCTAATTATCCTTTAATTTCACAACTGCGCACGTTACCTGTGAAACTGTTCGAATATGTTCTTCGGTATAAAGTTCCAAAGTCGGTACTTTGTAGTCCGTATTCTGTTGTTTTGATACAGGTGGGATACTTTTTCGTATTCTTCCTTAAAATGCCCCAGACATGGTATAACGATCCTGTGTTTACTGATGGTCTTGGCCGGCTGCTGGAAGGTGACGTCATTATTGCCTTCTGCAGAAACCATGCGCTGCCATTTGCACCTGGCCCACTCAAGTGACTCTTCCATGTTCTCGTGAAAACCAAGTCGTGTCCTTTACTTTGCAGCATGTTAGGAAAAAAAGAGAGAGTTGCAGAATAAGCTGGGTGAAGTTCAAATGCACATGACAAGCGACGACAAATTGCTGTTTTGTGTTGAGAAACATCCAATTCATCCAAAGCCAGTTTTTAACTTTATGATAGCAAATTAACACTGAAGTGTAACTTTAGATGATGATGGTGGTTATTATTCTATTAATTTATACCCCACTCATCTGGATTGGCTTGCAGCCCATATAAAACCATAATAAAGATACTAACCAATTAAGAGAGACCAGAAATCACTGATTAAATGGCACAATGACATTACAGAGCTATTCATTTGGATGGGTTTGTTATAAAAGAAAAGCCAAAGTCATTGTGCAAGACTTTTTTTCAAAATGTGCCCCCTCAACTTCTGTGTTTGACTGGAGAGCTCTATGTATTAATAGGCAGGGAAAAGGAGCACTGACCAAAATCCCTAACAGGAAAATTCTCTTATCACTGAGACCAACAAGATACTCTCTCGGCCTATTATCTGCCAACATCCCTACTGACCTCTCACTCAACACATCCCCCTTTCCCTGCAGGAATGGACACAACCTGCTTCTTCCACCAACTAGCAGGTTAGATAGCCTACCAAGAAATCCTTGTTTCCTTGTAGCCCGTGGTTTGACAAATGCTGAAATAAAAAAAAAGAGAAGTCAGCTGTGCAACCTACTTTTCCAGCATCTCTCTCTGTGTGCACAGATTACAGAGCCTACCCAATATTGCTGGAACTGGAGTGGGTGAGCCATAAGTAAAGGGACTCCTGACCGTTAGGTCCAGTTGTGGCCAACTCTGGGGTTGTGGCGCTCATCTAGCTTTACTGGCCGAGGGAGCCGACATACAGCTTCCGGGTCATGTGGCCAGCATGACTATGCCGCTTCTGGCGAACCAGAGCAGCGCACAGAAACACTGTTTACCTTCCTGCCGGAGCGGTACCTATTTATCTACTTGCACTTTGACGTGCTTTTGAACTACTAGGTTGGCAGGAGCTGGGACCGAGCAACGGGAGCTCACCCCGTTGCGGGGATTTGAAGCACCGACCTTCTGATTGGCAAGCCCTAGGCTCTGTGGTTTAACCCACAGCGCCACCCGTGTCCCGCATGGGTGAGCTATAACCATACATATATCTGAGAGCTCCATCACACATTAGCACTTCATCGCAAGCAGGCACCACTGCATACATCATTTAGGATAATCTAGCAAACCTGCTTGTCCTTAGGGCCTGCATGTGGCTGTGTTCCTGCTTAGATATACCCAACCTGGACACCGGAAGGATGCAAAAGGTGACTGGACAGCTGGATTGCGCTATTTAAAGCATGGAAAGGGCTCTGCTTGACATAAAGGTAAAGGTACCCCTGCCCATACGGGCCAGTCTTGACAGACTCTAGGGTTGTGCGCCCATCTCACTTAAGAGGCCGGGGGCCAGCGCTGTCCGGAGACACTTCCGGGTCACGTGGCCAGCGTGACAAGCTGCATCTGGCGAGCCAGTGCAGCACACGGAAACGCCGTTTACCTTCCCGCCAGTAAGCGGTCCCTATTTATCTACTTGCACCCGGGGGTGCTCTCGAACTGCTAGTTTGGCAGGCGCTGGGACCGAGCAACGGGAGCGCACCCCACCGCGGGGATTCGAACCGCTGACCTTTCAATCAGCAAGCCCTAGGCGCTGAGGCTTTTACCCACAGCACCACCCACGTTCCCTGCTTGACATAACAGGCTGCAATAAAGTGTGCAGGCCAAAGTCAATGCTCAACCAGGCCAAGGGTAGTGCTGAAGAGTCCTGCTCAGCTCCTATCGGATTGCGTCCAACCTCACAGGGTTGTTGTGAGAATGAAGGAGATGGGAAACATTTTTAAAGGCCATGAACAATTAGAAAAATGTAGGAAATAAATAATACCTAGGATGTATAAATAAATAATAGGGACGCGGGTGGCGTTCTGGGTTAAACCACAGAGCCTAGGACTTGCCGATCAGAAGGTTGGCGGTTTGAATCCCCGCGACGGGGTGAGCTCCCGTTGCTCGGTTCCTGCTCCTGCCAACCTAGCAGTTCGAAAGCACATCAAAGAGCAAGTAGATAAATAGGAACCACTCTGGCAGGAAGGTAAATGGCGTTTCCGTGCACTGCTCTGGTTCGCCAGAAGCGGCTTAGTCATGCTGACCACATGACCCGGAAGCTGTACGCCGGCTCCCTTGGCCAATAAAGCGAGATGAGCGCCGCAACCCCAGAGTCGGCCACAACTGGACCTAATGGTCAGGGGTCCCTTTACCTTTAACTATAAATAAATAATACCTAGGAAATGTATTATTACACCCAGACTTTTCTCTCTTCTCTCTTTTTTTTTGCAAAGCTATTTCCTGTTTTTTCTTTACCCGGTTTGGCTTTTTCCGATACAAAAACAGTGGTGAATGGGGAATTGCTTCCCTACTGCAGAATGTATCCTATCCGCTATAGTCCCCTTGAAGAGGTATTGTAATATGTTCGCTTCTGCAGTTATTCCGATAGCCTGCAGATATAGCACTACAGACACCTGGCTTCGAAGCCAACTCTGGATAGCACCACGGTTAAAGCTGAGCCTGAGCTGATAACAGCATTTTGAAAGGAAAAGCCATTTAAACTCACAGCTGGTCACCCAAATCCATGAGTCAGCATCAATGCACGGAACTGCTGTTAAGGGAGAGATGATAACATTGTGCCCCAGGGGCACTATCTGTGAAATGTGCACCAAGATCATGTTACCTAAGGAACTTTTCTCAATGAACTGGGGAGCTGGGGCGGGAAGAGGCATAACAAAGTGCTGGCCGTCTTGACACCTTTATAAGGCCAAAGCCACAATGGAAATGTGGTCTTAACTGAGCTACTCCAGCTTAACCACTGCGGGCAGCTAGGCACCCGGTGAATGAAACCTCGCCATTATTTCAGCTCACTGAATCCACACACCACAGACTGTCTATGCCTAGTTTTGACTGAGATAAAGAATGCAGTGGGGAAAGTCATTTATAATACTAATACTAATTTATTATTTATACCCCACCCATCTGGCTGGGTTTCCCCAGCCACTGCTGGCGGCTCCCAAGAGAACATTAAAAACACAGTAAAAGATGTAAAAACTTCCCTAAACAGGGCAGCCTTCAGAAGTCTTTTAAAAGTCAGAGAGTTGTTTATTTCCTTGACATCTGATGGGAGGGCGTTCCACAGGGCGGGTGCCACTACTGAGAAGGCCCTCTGCCTGCATGATTTCCTTATCTGTAGGTCCCAAACCACCAGCCTGAGATTCAGATTTCTGGAGAGATTTGATTAACTAATGTGATTAACTATCTTTAGTTTCCATTCCTTGTTTCTCTCCTCCCTGTGTATGCATTAGTTTATTTATAACAAATCGCGAGAGACTGATATTTTTGCTTTTGTTGTTCTCGTTATTCTTTCCTGCACCACTTAAGAGTGTACAAAACACAATGGAATCCATTTTTAAAAAATAAAAAAAAATCAAATTACCTTGGTTTTACCTGGATCTGTTTCAGACTTGGTTCAGGCACCGTTTGGGACTGAATTGGAGAGGAGCGTCACCCTTTTCTTGGATTTGATATCCCGCCTTTCACTCCCTTTAAGGAGTCTCAAAGCGGCTAACATTCTCCTTTCCCTTCCTCCCCCACAACAAACACTCTGTGAGGTGAGTGGGGCTGAGAGACTTCAGAGAAGTGTGACTGGCCCAAGGTCACCCAGCAGCTGCATGTGGAGGAGCGGAGACGCGAACCCGGTTCCCCAGATTACGAGACTACCGCTCTTAACCACTACACCACACTGGCATCTCTTAACCTTTCTTAACCTTATCTTCACCACTGTTGTAAGACCCACACTTGTCCTGATACAGGTCATTCACCAGGATGACCAAGGCTGATTCAGTCCCAAACAACGCCTGAACCAAGTCTGAAACAGATCCAGGTAATCCGTATCCTCCTGAAATGGCTCAGTCACCATTCTCTCCACCACCTTACCTGCAACCAGGAAGTTTTGTGTGTGTGTTTTTGTTTTAATAAAGTTTAGACAGAATGACACTGATAGGTTCTGAACCCAGTCCTTGGTAGCTTCAGTTGCCATCCTACCTCCAGTGTTTGTGTAGAACGGTATCTGTCTTGAGTGTGGTTCAGAGGAAAGGATACAGTGGTACCTCTAGTTACGAACTTAATTCGTTCCAGAGGCCCATTCTTAACCTGAAACTGTTCTTAACTAGAGGCGTGCTTTTGCTAATGGGGCCTCTTGCTGCCGCTGCGCCACCGGCACACATTCTCATCCTGGGGCAAAGTTCTCAACTCGAGGTAACTCTTCCAGGTTAGCGGAGTTTGTAACCTGAAGCGTTTAAATCTGAAGCGTTTGTAACTCGAGGTACCACTGTATTGCACTTGAAACATCAGGGACCTGAGTTTAAATCCCTACAATGCTGGTAGGCCTTGCCCAGGTCTCTTGGCAGGAATTCATTATCAGTCAAATAGGCATTAAAATGAGTTACTTAAGATTTGATCTATGAAAAGAAATAACAAGAATGTCCATTGGAACCAATGGGAGCCATTTCCCTGTTTTTATTGTAGCTTATATTTATTTCCATGGAGCCTGGTCATATCAATGGACATCTGCTGTTCCCATTATTTATTGTGGTCCTTCAGGGAGCTCCCATTGTTTCTGGTGGGTATTTTTGCCATTCTTTTTAGCAGCATTTGAAATTCGCCAGGTGCATCTTGCACCTGCCTATCAGCCACTTGCAACCAAGTGAAGACGCCTGGGTGCCAGGATAGCGCCTGATGTCTCCACCATCTGGAGGTGCATGCCTGGGGATCCTTGGATATTATTGACTGTTTTCACACGCTAGCAACACATCCTGTACAATTCTATCCATTATATTTTATCTGCACAATGGGAATGAATTTCAGGAACCAAAACGTCGTATTCAAAAATACAACTGTGTAGCCGTCCTTAGTGGCAACTAAGCATTCTGTTTTGGCGACTATAACCCTGGCTCAAGGAGCCATTTGGCATCTAACATACATCTGAGTTTCTATCACTGCTTTTTAGTATACCCTATCCCAATTGCCACTGTAAGAAGAGGACAGACTTTGTCTGATGCCTAAAAGATAGAGAGGTGAAGTCACCAGGTGAACACGGCTTGGTGTAAAGTTTCAGAGCTTGGGTGCCACCACAGAGAAGGCCCTTCTAACTTCTGAAAGCAGGACATGTGGACAAGGGCCTCTGAGGAAGTATGCAACTGATTTGAAACAACTACCAATGCAGTCTATCTGCAGCCCATGAACTAGTTTTCCAGATAGCTCATTAGTTACCTATAACTTCCTAGGGCCAAATAAGAACCTCTCAAGGAACTAATCCCCTCATTCGGGGAAGACGGGGCAAACTGCCAGAAACCAACAGCCTTTGCTGCAGCCACGTTTTGTTCGGCCTACTCCAACATCTCAGGAATGACAATGCAACTGAGCTCTTTGCAACTACAAGTTTGCCAGCAACAGCAAGGAGGGTGGGAGGAGATGACTTGCCCTTTCACTTCCTGGGCTCTATTCTAGATTTGGCTGTCAGTCTTTCCAGTTACCAACTACCACTGTATTTACCAATTTGAGTGGTGCAGGTAGATGTTTGGTTCTATATTAGCATTACCTTATTTGTGAAGCTTAGCATGTTACTATGTCCTATACGTTTATATTTTAAATGTGCAATGGATGAAAGTGGAGCCATTCTGTAACTTTTTCTTTTCTTAGAAATTCTGAATACTGTATTAAATGGCATATAAATACCTGAGGCAGAACTTATGCTCATTTTGCAAAGGGGGAGAGAAAAAGATGGCAAGGATGAATGAAGGGAAGGGTAAACAGAGGGTGTGTAGGAAGGGAAGGTCGAGATAAAAAAATGTTACATTACAGGGGGAGATTGCAATCAACAGTTAATTACAAACAGAAACGTAGTACACAAATATCTGAAATTCATCACTTCTTAAACAAGTCTCCACTCTTAAAAAGCCCTACCAACTTGTTAGATTTCCTAATTGAGGAAAACCATAGAATCAATTGTCTACAGAAGAGTTCATGAATTATCATTCACCAAACTGAACACACAAGTAAGGTTTAAATAGAAAAGTGCTTCTGATACTGTGAAACATTACAGAGATGTTGGAACCTGTATAAACATCTGCGGATAACCTGATCCAGGTCTTGTCTTAACAAGCCCCAGAGCTACCTACCATTCCAGATACTAATCAGCATCAATTAGAGTTTATCTGTGCATCCTTCATAGTCATGGCAATCCATATGAACACAAATTATGTCTTTCTATAAACCTTGTTAATGCATTTTAAAGGTTAAACCATTAAAGGTTAAAAATTAAGATAACATACACTGAGCAGAATTGAATTCTTTTAATGGTGATATCCAAGATTAGTCCTGCACATAGTAGTAGTGATTTCCATTTATTTAGATGGGTGTACGCTGAACGGAGGGAAGCGGGTGGCGCTGTGGGTTAAACCACTGTACCTAGGGCTTGCCGATCGAAAGGTCGGCGGTTCGAATCCCTGCGATGGGGTGAGCTTCTGTTGTTTGGTCCCAGCTCCTGCCAACCTAGCAGTTTGAAAGCACACCAGTGCAAGTAGATAAATAGGTACCACTCCGGCGGGAAGGTAAACAGTGTTTCTGTGCACTGCTCTGGTTTCGCCAGAAGTGGCTTAGTCATGCTGGCCACATGACCCGGAAAAACTGTCTGTGGAAGCGGACAAACGCCGGCTCCCTCGGCCTGTAAAGCAAGATGAGCGCCGCAACCCCAGAGTCTTTCGCAACTGGACTTAATTGTCAGGGGTCCCTTTACCCTTTACCTTTTACTCTGAACAGGACTAATGATGGATACCACCCTAAAAGAAATAAAGTAGCATACTATCTGATCTTAACTGTCATTATAACCTGAGACAAAGCTATAAAGGTAGAATGAAATCAACTGGACTTTCTAAGTACAGTAAACATGGTGTGACTGGCAATTAGCATGCATAAAATTACAGTCTAGTAAATAATTATTTATCCACCTTAATACTGTACATGCTTAACCTGTATGAGAGCAACTTATCATTTTTTTAAAGTGTTGTTTTGTCTAACTTATGTTATTACATACTGTGACAGTGAGTTTAAAATTTGAAACAGAGATCAATTCCATACAGCTCAAGGCCAATTCTCAGGGCTAAATTCCCTGCAATGGTCTGCGTTAATTCCAGGGAATGAATGTGATTGTGATTAAATAATCCCCCCACCCCAACAGTGGAGATCTACTACTCAACACATGCACAGAATCATAATAATAGTAAGGAAAAACCAAAAGCAACATAGCACAGGTAATATTATTGTGAGAACTGGTCCCACTTAAAATGGAAGATAATACCCAACTCTTCCCAATCACTTCATAGTCTCTCAAAGGACAACAATAAAGAGATATAACCTATTAACAATCAACTACAATATACTTAAAAACAGAGACATAATGGCCAATGCCTGTTTCAATGGGCTCTTATATTTTATTATTAATTTTTAAAGCCTTTAGGTGTCCTAATGAGTACCTGAGAATTCAATTTCAAATACTAGTCACTCCTTTTGCAATTGCAGGAGTGACTAGTATTTATAATGGGAAGTAAAATAATGAAACAGTCTGCCTCTCCCTCCCTCCTACATCCTGAGTGCTCGAAGTCCAAATTCTAATTAGTGTACCTTTTTAATATACGGGTGCGAGTCTTCAAGTAGGTATACCCAAAGCATCTATAGTACCGTACTTCTTTACCACAGCTCTGCTTATCTTTAAGGCTACTTACCAAACAAAACTTGTTTAACAGGTAAAGTGCCTTTCAAAAACTGCCGTGTAGGTGTAACCTCAGCAATATGGATTTGCCAAAATATTCCTATGGGGTTTTCCTGCAGATTCCTTATATGTTTATTCTAGATCACTCTGCAGTCTATCATGTGCATTTAGTAAGGGAACTTCAGAGCCCTCTAGCTGAGAGGACACCCAGAGATACCACATCAGTACATTTGTCCCTTCTGTTTATGTACCCATGCCAGCAAATCTCTCCTGTAATTTCAGGCAATGTCCTGAAATCAGTGGTGCTAAACCAAGGCAGCTTCCGTTTTGTAAGGATATAACCTTCTAGCCCTAAGTATGGAGAACTTCCTCAGGAAAAACGTACAGGAACTAGAAAGTCAAATTGTTGGTGGGCTGCATTACCTAACCTGACCCAAATATAGTTGTTTCTGCCACAAGGAACGCTGCAGAATTGCTCTTCAGTGTGCAGAGAAAGTCGATAAGCAGCTTACGCAATCTTTCTGCACGAGGAGGACTGGATCCAGATAACAAACCTCACCATGGAGAAGTATATATATAAGGGTGCTGCCTCCCCGGCCCCTGAGGGCAGCTCTGAGCATTCAACAGCTCAGCAACAGGTAGAAAATCAGGTGCAGCTGAAGGAGACGCAACAAAGAGGAAAGCCACCCACTGCTGTGCTCAGTGCACAGAGCCACTGCTGGCTAAAAAACGAGAAGCACACCTGAAAATAGCAAGGCCCTTTCCGCCAGCTAATAACACGGTAAGGGCCAACATAAAGTTTTATTTAGTATTGTTTTATTATTTATTAAATCTGCATACCTCCCTATACCCAAAGATCTCCGGGGGTGTGTGTGTGGGTCTTTTTCGCAACACAAAATGTCAATATAAAAAACAAAATACATAATAAAAATAAGAACCAAAAAAACCTGATAATCCCCATGACCACTCTCTGAAGAGTCTTGGCCCTCTTTGCTGACTCGATGTTTGCGTTGACACAAGCAGTGGAGTTGAACCAGATCGTTACTCCTCCTAGCTCAATACATCGTTACTCCTCCTAGCTCAATACAGTCTGCACTGACTGGCAACAGCCATCCAGGGCTTCAGATAGGAAATATTTCCTTGTCCTACACCAGGGGTTGGCAACCTAAGGCCCAGGGGCCAGATGCGGCCCAATCGCCTTCTCAATCTGGCCCACGGACGGTCCGGGAATCAGTGTGTTTTTACATGAGTAGAATGTGTGCTTTTATTTAAAATGCATCTCTGGGTTATTTGTGGGGCATAGGAATTTGTTCATATATTTTTTCAAAATATAGTCCAGCCCCCGACATGGTCTGAGGGACAGTGGACCGGCCCATGGCTGACAAAGGTTGCTGACCCCTGCCCTACAGTGATGCAACAAATCTAAACAGCAGATGCTCAGCAGATGTTGTACCGCCAAACTAGGACATTTCACACCCCCCCAAAAAGGCTTCTCACAAAATTCAGTACGTAGCTAGAGCTACCAAGGAGCCTTACAAGACATCACAAGACATCCCACATCCCACCACATTTGGGACAACACCTAAAGCTATCCCAAAGGGAGGATTCCCTGGTCCTGAATGGGGTAACTCTGCCCCTAAAGGACCAGGTGCGCAGCCTGGGAGTCATTTTGGACTCACAGCTGTCCATGGAGGCACAGGTCAAATCTGTGTCCAGGGCAGCTGTTTACCAGCTCCATCTGGTACGTAGGCTGAGACCCTATCTGCCTGCGGACTGTCTCGCCAGAGTGGTGCATGCTCTCGTTATCTCCCGCTTGGACTACTGCAATGCGCTCTACATGGGGCTACCTTTGAAGGTGACCCGGAAACTACAACTAATCCAGAATGTGGCAGCTAGACTGGTGACTGGGAGTGCCCGCCGAGACCATATAACACCGGTCTTGAAAGACCTACATTGGCTCCCAGGACGTTTCCGAGCACAATTCAAAGTGTTGGTGCTGACCTTTAAAGCCCTAAACAGCCTCGGTCCAGTATATCTGAAGGAGCGTCTCCACCCCCATCGTTCTACCCAGACACTGAGGTCCAACACCGGTGGCCTTCTGGCGGTTCCCTCACTGCGAGAAGCCAAGTTACAGGGAACCAGGCAGAGGACCTTCTCGGTAGTGGCGCCCTCCCTGTGGAACGCCCTCCCACCAGATGTCAAAGAGAACAACAACTTCCGGACTTTTAGAAGACATCTGAAGGCAGCCCTGTTTAGGGAGGCTTTTAATGTCTGATCTATCACAGCATTTTAATATTTCCTGGAAGCCGCCCAGAGTGGCTGGGGAAGCCCAGCCAGATGGGCGGGGTATAAATAATAAATTATTATTAATTATTATTATTATTATTATTATTATTATTAATTATTATTATTATTATACAAAGGGACGATGCCAACGATACCTGGGTGATAGCATTTGCTGGGGGACAAATGGTCTCCCCATCATGGGCGTAGCCAGGATTTTTGTTGTGGGGGGGGAGCAGAACCTCAGTTCACTATGTATTTTTATTTGGGGGGGCAGCTGCCCCTCCCTGCCCCCCAGCTACACCCATGCTTCTCTTACTCATGGGGAACAGTGCCACTCACTTAATAAGGATGAATGCCTTTCAAATGCTTGGCGCCACATTTTAGGTGACACCAGGCACATAATGATTTTTCCAGCCTAGCAACCGCTACAACAAACCAAGTAGTTTAAGCAAAATAGCACCTTACCTATTCTGGATCCACACAGCTCCAAAGCAAAGTAACATTATTTTCATGCAACAACATTTAGCGACTCTTTAGCCATCGCCGCTGAAGGGATTTGCAAAAGGAGCAGCACAGCAGGCTTTCTAAACATAATTCTTAAACGGAAAAATACTGGATTACGGGACTGCGGCCTAGGCGGTCAAACCGTTTCTCACAAATCATATATGGCTGCCGTGCAGTTCAGGTGCAGCTCCTGACAGGTTTAGAAAGGTGAAGGGAAGAAGCTGATCTATAAGGGTAAGTCAAAAAATGTGTGAGAGAATTAGAGTGCCTTTTCTCCTTCTCTCATCCCTTTCCCTAGCCACACAGTGGCCAAATGGATCCCGGGAGCATGGGGTAGGGCTTAAGGCTCAGGAGGAAGCAGTAATCGCTGGAAAGCAGAGGGAAAGGAATAGTATTATGCCTGGCTGAAGTTGAGGAAAGGGAGAGGGAGAAGCAAGGCCCTGGCAAAGGAAGGGGGTGGGAATCATAGGGGGAATAAGGAAGCAGTGTTGACAGCCAGGTCCGTTGACAGAGAAGATATAACTAGGGAAGGTACTGTATGGGGATCGTTGCAGAAGGAGAAACAGCAGCGAGGCTGTGCCTTGTGGCTCTCAACCATTGGAAGATATTGGCAGGATTTCCTTTGGCACAGAAACTTGGGCCACCCCTGAGCTGCAACCGCCTTCCTTACGCTCAGGGACTTCCTCTTCAGAACTATAAACTAACTCCCACTGTTCTCAAATTCTAGAAGAGCTGGAAAGAGAGTCATGTGACCCACAAGATGGCTGCTCCAGAATTCCATGGCTCCCACACTTGCCTGCTCCTCTCAGCCACACACAGACATGTGTACAACTGCTGGTCCCTCCCTTCTGGACCCAAAAAATAATTGTTACTAGGCTCAGTCCACCGACCCTAGGGAACCTGAAGTCTGTAGGAAGTCAGATTCAGAACGTTTCCTCTTTCCCCAGAACCGTTAACTTCAGACTCCCAAGATCCTCTAATCAGCCTCACGCTTAATCTCCGACTCCAAGACCCCCTTCCACAGCTTTACTTTAATACTAAAATGTATCAAGGAGGACAGAAGCCTAGTCTCCTTACACAGACAACTAAGAAGAGCAAGCTGATTTTCTGAGGAAAACAGAGGAGCATGTGTACTGCGGGGATCACTGTGAAAATGATTAAATTGGTGGAATATGTGGGGAAGGGATATGTGTCCCACCTTACAGAAGACAGCTGCCAGAGGACTCTCCTCTATTTGAATGATTTTTCTATTTGAAGTCCAGTCTAATAAGGGAGATCAACAGCCTTGTCTATTAACACCATAGGCAAACAGGTCACCTGGTCACAGTCTTCCTCATGACAGTGAGATGTACAGTGGTACCTCGGGTTAAGTACTTAATTCGTTCCGGAGGTCCGTACTTAACCTGAAACTGTTCTTAACCTGAAGCACCACTTTAGCTAATAGGGCCTGCTGCTGCCGCTGTGCCAATGCTGCATGAAGGATAATTTAAGAGTAATTATCCTTGCAAGCCCTCCCCAGGGTCGGGGTGTGAGCTTTCACTCACAGGTCGTCCGAAACCTGCCTCTCGTTCCGATGGAATGTGGGGCGGCAGTGGGGGGGGGGGAGACACTGAGTGCATAGCACTGCACGTAATGGAAACTCTTCAACGCAGCCACCATGAGCGGAGGTACTTCTGTTTTTTAAGATGGATCAGAATTTGGACTTAAGAAACAGGTGTGTTCTGGACAAAGGAGACAAGATAACCTGCTAAATGAATTAGCCACTGAGTGCCAAGGTTTTGATCTAGAGAGGATTTTCGCCATAACTGGATTGGTATGTAGGTGGAGGGAAGCCTTTGTTCTCTCGTTACATTATATATGCTACTTTATGATTCAGCAAACCTTCATCAAAGAAAAAATTAACTACTAATGGAATGTAATTATTAATGGAATGCAATTATTAATGGAACGCAAGAGGGAATTAACAAGAACTTCATAATATTTACGGATTGATTGAAAGAATGGAACTGTGTGAAAACATCGGAATGATTTGTGGCATTACCCTCTAAAGAGGACTCTAACTTTGATTTATTATGGCTCTGGCGAGACACCAGCTTATTAACAGATGGGAAAGAAATCAAAGAAGAAAATGCTGAAAGTCTGCCCGGAGCTATGGACAGACACCAGATCTCTTTCAGTTTGGAAAAGCAAGATGGCGTGAGGCTGTGGTGCAACAAGAACTGAATCCTTGAAGTGGGGATTTATCAGTGGCTGTTAAAATAAAGGATTAAGATCAGAACTGTTTTATTTGGATTAAATAAGAGGATTGGAACAGGACGAAGTAACATCATCATCTCCTGAGAAACAGAAAATGGGAAGTCACCCAAAATGTTTAATTTGGAATTGGATACTTGGCTCTTTTGATTGTATTAAGATTTGGTACTGTATTAATGTGGCTTATATTGGACTGTTGTTAATGAAAAAAATCATTATTTTTTTTTAAAAAGGGAAAAAAGAACACAAACATATAATATATAGTATATAGTAAAACAAAACAAAACAAAAAACCTCCAGTCTTATGTTTGAAGGTTATGAGGTACATAATTAATTAGACCTTAGCAGATAAATCACTATGTAAGCATAGTTAACACCTGTTTATTTCAATAGGACTACAGTATAGTGAGTGACCGGAGACTTTAAAAGCAAAACACTGAACCCAAAGTGTTTTAAGAAAGGGAAAAATATGATCAATGACATTACCTCCTGCAAACCAATTGCACAGGAAGAAGACAGGGGATACTTCATTCAGGGGGTGCTTCTTGTGGCACAATGGATCTGTGTGTCTGGCTGTTAGCCAGAGGGCTGGTGGTTTAAGCACCAAATCATGGTTTAGTATTTTGTGAAAATCAGGCCAGTATACCAAGTAGAAATGCAGGCCTAACTCAATGTCATAGCGAGGCTTATTAACCCTTCCACTTTAAACAAGCCGTGGCACAAACATGGCACTTCAGGTCTCTATGCTGTCATCAGCCACGTGTTAATCCAATTATGATTCTTTCATTGGGGCTGGGAGTGGGGAAGATATAACAAAATCAAAACCCTTTTCACATGATCTGACAAAATCAACTCAGAAAATGGGACGCCTAATTATCTTGTGCAGGGCAGCATGGTCTGACGCATAATTATTCACTCAGCATTAGAACAGGGCATGATCCTACATGCTTTACTGACACTCAGCTTATTGAGTTAAGCATCTGGTTTTATTGTTATTTTTGCTACAAGAATCCCACAAGCAAAATACATACTCACATACAATGATGATTGCTCCCATTTTGCTAGTGTCTCCTAGTTCAGGTTGCTGTAGCAAGCAGGTCTCTAGGCTACAATGCAACAGGTGAGGGAAGTAGATGGAAAGTGCCCACATGAAAAACAGGTGGGAGAAGCCAAAACTGCCTCATCTCCCAGGAGATTTAAAGGCACAAAGGAAATCTCTAGTCTGTAGCTAGGGAACTCTAAATGGCCTCCTGGGTACTCTTTTCTTTTTTTACAAAATAAATATTTTATAGTTCCCTGCCTACTCATCAAAGTAACTCAAGGGAATTTACAATCCAAAACACAGGGCAATTTTTATATATATATATATATATATATATATATATATAACCTTCTTTATTAAAAGTACAAATTAACATCAAAGCCAATCTGTTACCAAAAAAATCCAAACAAAAATCGTAAGACCACTAGGCTCAATACACACTCAATACGTTTAAAGCACCTGGCTTCCCCCAAAGAATCCTGGGAACTGTAGTTTATCGCTCGCAAAGCTACAATTTGCAGCAACCTTAACAAACTACAGTTCCCAGGATTCTTTGGGGGCAATCATATGGTGTGTTCACAGCAGAGAATGATCTACAAGTCAGGAATTCCTTGGTTCAAATTTTGCCTCTGCAATGAATTCACCTGCTGGTCTAAAAGCAAGCCACACACTCTTTCTCATTCTTTATCTCCTCCACCCATGCAATATGGGGACCAATAACACTAACTGCTAGTTCTAAGGGACTGCAACAAGATAATGCACGGGAAGCTCTTTAAACATATGGAAGTACTATATAAATGTTCAGAATTCTGTCTAAAAATTTAATTCCCTCTCTTACCTTCACTATGGTCAACAGGGGCAAAACTAGAAAATCCAGCTTGCTTGTGCCATGAAGCCACAGGCTGAATTTTCCCAAAGACAGAACCCTTAAGACTGAATGCAAATGTTAAAGCCCCAATACCAGGATGGAGAACCTGTGGCATAGGCAGTGGGGATTTGCGGCACACCTGGACAAGTGCAGGAGAGCCTACAGGCCTGCCCACAGGATAAGAGTCCATCAACTCTCCTGCCTTTCATTCCTAAACTGTGCTGCTACCTATTCTACAGCTCAGATACTGCAGGCAAAGCCACACCAAGGCAAGTAGTATGGGACACTTGTGCTGGCCTACCTTATACAGTGGTACCTCAGGTTAAGTACTTAATTCGTTCCGGAGGTCCGTACTTAACCTGAAACTGTTCTTAACCTGAAGCACCACTTTAGCTAATGGGGCCTCCTGCTGCCACCGCGCCACCAGAGCACGATTTCTGTTCTCATCCTGAAGCAAAGTTCTTAACCTGAAGCACTATTTCTGGGTTAGCAGAATGGGGCCTCCTGCTGCCGCCGCGCCGCCGGAGTCTGTAACCTGAAGCGTATGTAACCTGAAGCGTATGTAACCTGAGGTACCACTGTACTTTAGATTTGACTTACCACGCATAAACCTAAAAGATTGGCCATCAAATGTCCTAATGAAATGCAAACGTTGAACTGCAGCTTACAAACTCCACACAGCTCTGCCCTGCGTCCATAATTACAAAGATCACATGAGGCTTTATTCTACTTTCCCCAAATCTGTTCTAACTTCCCATAAAGTTCAACAAATAGAAGGACACCAACCTAATTTGCAAATACACACCTATACCTGTCCTGGTCTATTTCAAAGATACAAAACTGAACGACAAAACAGAATCAATCATTCTGAGCAAAGCACAGGTTTGCCTCATGTGGCTGTGATAAAACCTTCCTTAGGTTACTCCTGCCTACTCAGAAGTAAATCCTAAAAGTTCAGTGCGGCTTCCTGTACCAGGTACTGTAATGTTGTAACGTGCCTGCCCCTGGGACGTTAGGGTGAAAGGTGTATACAGTATATTATAATAAAGATGCACAAGACTTGCAGCGTTGGAGAGGGGCGTCTGAGGAATACTTACGTTCGTTTTTCTAGATGAATAACAAGCACAGTAAAATCCCGATTTAATAAAGCAAAGCCAGGAGAATAGAACTTTCTGACTATGTCGAGGGGATTCCGATAGAGCGGGATGGGTGGTAAACCGCTCTGGATAGAAAGGGAATCAGCAACGCACCAAAAGGAAGGTGAAGACGAGAGAGAATGAATTCGCACGAGAAGATGCCTCTTACTACCTCTCCCCCTGGGCGCATCACAAAAACGGCCTCGATTCTCCCCGCGCACTCGAAGGATCTGCCGCCGCTGTTCCCACTACGGTCCGAAACCTAAGCTCGCAGCCAGCCGCCTGCAGCTGGGAGCCGATCCCCTCCCCGCCCACTTCGCCGGCTGCAGTAGGAAGAACCAACCAAGGTGGTGGTGGTGGGGGGGGAAGGCTGGGACAGCGAATCGCCTCCACAAAAGCCAATCTTTGCAAGGACCCGGCCTCCGCCCTTTCTGACGCCTCCTTCAGGCATTTCTCTTCTCCCAACTTTAGCACAGAAATCACAGATCTGCAGAGCTGGAAGGGAGCCCATAGGGTCATCTAGTCCACAACCCCCCCCCCGAAAGCAGGAATCTCAGCCCGTGGTCCCCCAAAACTATACCCGACCCTGCTTTGCAAATGTGCCAGCAGTTTTATTTCTGCACCACGAGGACCCGTTTAGAGCAATGCGGCGTTGGCTTCCGTGGCAACTTCTGTGTCGTTGTGTTTACTTTTCTCTTTCACATATTTCTTTTTGCAGCTGCTAACTTCTGTCTAATTTCCCCCTTTTTACTCCTTCTGTCTTCATTAGTTCTAAGTCCCGCTGAGATCCTAGTAACTCTTGTTTAGGATCAGTGCCTTCCTAGGATCAGTGCCTTGTTTAGGATCAGTGCCTTACAATACAGTGGCACCTCGGGTTACATACGCTTCAGGTTAAATACGCTTCAGGTTACAGACTCCGCTAACCCAGAAATATTACCTCGGGTTAAGAACTTTGCTTCAGGATGAGAACAGAAATTTTGCAGTGGTGGCACGGCGGCAGCAGGAGGCCCCATTAGCTAAAGTGGTGCTTCAGCTTAAGAACAGTTTCAGGTTAAGAACAGACCTCCGGAACGAATTAAGTTCTTAACCCGAGGTACCACTGTATTTGTTTGTATTTGAATATCCAGGAGTTCCCATTAGTCCCGTCCCCGTCCCCCCCCCTTTATTTAACAGCACTGTGACAGAAATGAGATCTCCGCATTTTATTCTATGTGACTAACAGTCCTGAATGCCCCCGTAAATTATCTTCTCCAGACTTTTCTGCTGGTGCCTGGCAGACAGGCACTGCACATTGGGAATCACTAAAATCAGGATTGACCCAAGTCATTTTGTTGCCTGAGACAAAAAAAACTCAGAACAACAACCTCTGTCACTAGTTAACATAGAGTAATTGTCAAATAAGTGGGATTCTTCTGGGCAGATTATCAATTCAATCTGATTCCCAAGACACACTCTCCCACACTATTGCTTTCAGTGGTATCCCAAACCTGCTGAGGTAACTGCCTCACCTTGTATCATGACAAGGCAGTCTTTGGCTAGAATGCCAGATTAATATCTGGATATCAATATTTCTTAAAATATTTCTTAATCAACTCTCGGGGCATAACAATCTTCACACTGTGGTGTACAACTCCAGAATCAATCACAACATGAAATCATTTATCTGAAAACTCACAACCCCTTAAAATTAACAGTAGAAGTTAAACCAAAGTGCAATTATGAAAAATGTAGATGAAAATTAAAATACCACATTTTTCTGTGTATAAGACTAGGTTTTTTTTTACTACAAAATAATGTAAAAAAATAGGGGGTGTCTTATACATGGGGCCCCCACATTTTCTTAAACATGAGTCCCCCAATATAGGGGGTATCTTATACAGTACATGGAAAAATACAGTATGTTTCTTTAAAAACAACAACTAATAATGATGGAGCAGAGCCAGATGGATTTCCAGGGAGAACAAATTCCATAAATTCGGAACTACCGCCCCAAAAAGCCATGCTTCCAATACCCATATGGTGGCCTTCAGACATCAATCTTAATGCACAGGCAGGCTCATATTGGTACAGATAGTCCTTCAGATAGCCAGTCTCCCAAATCAGTAGTCTCTGATGCAAAAAGCAGAAGGTCACACTCTTATTTATGACTTTAGAACGAAAGTGACTACCGTGCTAGTTCCACTTCTAATATCATTAATACACTTTAGAATCCTCAACCATTTTCTTTGGATGTACTATGAAGATTCCCCCTCTCCCAATATGTATATACCTACAAACTTTATAGACTACTTATAACCATCTGGCACAAAACATATGCCACGTATGTATATACATATGAATGAATGAAACTTGTTTCACGCTCCAGGGTGAGAATAACGCGCTGTTGTAGATCTTACAGAGGAGACAGGAGTGGGTGTTATAGGTCAAGTTTGTACGATTTCTCACCCTTTTTTCACCAGCCTCTGCTTATTCTAGTAAAGGTAAAGGTACCCCTGCCCGTACGGGCCAGTCTTGACAGACTCTAGGGTTGTGCGCCCATCTCACTCTAGAGGCCGGGGGCCAGCGCTGTCCGGAGACACTTCCGGGTCACGTGGCCAGCGTGACAAGCTGCATCTGGCGAGCCAGCGCAGCACACGGAACGCCGTTTACCTTCCCGCTAGTAAGCGGTCCCTATTTATCTACTTGCACCTGGGGGTGCTTTCGAACTGCTAGGTTGGCAGGCGCTGGGACCGAATGACGGGAGCGCACCCCGCCGCGGGGATTTGAACCGCCGACCTTTCGATCAGCAAGCCCTAGGCGCTGAGGCTTTTACCCACAGCGCCACCCGCGTCCCTCTGCTTATTCTAGTGTGGGGTTAATGAGCATTTTGTCATCTAGCTGGTTGGCTACAGTGAAAGGAAAATGTGGTTTCTGCCCCAGGTGAGAGTGTGGGTATAACCTGTCCTTCCAGGCGAAAGACCCTAGGTGAGAGAGATGGGGTGGCTTGATTGATGCTTTTCTATTTCTTGTCACAAGGTTAATTGAAGTTCCTCGCATCATCTAATGTGATCGATTGTGATTTTGCTAATTTATATTGTACTTTTATTATATACCAGCTGTCTTTTGACCTGGTTTGCAGCTTGTTCTGCTGAAACATAAACACATTGATATAAAGATCTGCCTTAGGGTAGGACCACTAACCAACGGCCCTCCCCTCTGGAAGTGCCTGGCCCGGACTAGCACTTCAACTCAAATATAACGAGAGCCACGGATTTGAAGCTGGGAGGTGGGGGGAAATACGTTGAAAAAGTGGGGCGGGGCTTCAGCCTCTGCGCAGGCTCCTTACGCAGGAGGAGGAGGAGGATGACGCGGAGGCGGAAGCGGCTTTATTCGGGCGCTCTGATAGGACTAAGCTGGCCAGCGCGCGGTTACGTGGCCCCGCTGCGTTCGCAGCTTTCGCCTGGGGAAGCGGGTTGAGACCTCCGCGCGTGCGCAGCTTGGATGGGTGGGGCAGAAAGATGAAGCTGACGGAAAAGTTGCCGGCCGAGGAAAGGCTGAAGGTGAGAAGGCGGGGAGGGGGGGAGGGGGAGAAGGCTGGCCGCTGATTGGGTAAAAAAGGCGCGCTCCTTTTTGCCTGCGTTGGAGGGTTTGCTCTGAGGCAAAGAGGTGGTTCTGAAGGAGCGACTGCGGCTCTTTCTGAAACTTGGCCCTCCAGCTGTTTTGGGACTACAATTCCCACCATCCCTGACCACTGGTCCTGGTAGCTAGGGATGATGGGAGTTGTAGTCCGAAAACACATCTGGAGGGCCAAGTTTGGCCATGCCTGAAAGCCAAGAGTTTTGCCTCCAGCATATGTGTGACGGTTTCACAAGCAGGGCGTGGATAAAGATGGGCCGTCCCCTTTCCCGAATGACCCCAACGGCCCTCGGGTTTCAGAGGAGCACTGCTCCTGTTCATGGAGGCTCCATTCGCTTCATGCCAGCAGTGCTCCAGCTTCTGAAGGGTTGATGGCAGGCAGAAGCTGCCATCTGGGCTTTTCTGGTGGAGCCCTGAACTGACTGCATGGCCTCCACAGCGTGACCTGGTGTTTTTGCCCTTCGCCATAGGAGTCAGCTCCTAATGGAAGCCCCCCACCCAATAAAATATTTTTTAAGATTGTTGGGTGTTTCCATTCAAGTTGTCTTACCTGCCCCCCATATTTTATTCAAGTTGGCACCCCATGTCCTTCACTAATGCACCTGAAAAGGCTCAAAGATAGTGTGTTCGTAACACAGACATGGGCACAGAAACAGCAGGTGATCTCACAGGCAGGGCCGGCCCACCCCACCCATGAGGCGACTGCCTCAGGCGGCAGTTTCCACAGGGACGGCAGATCTTTATGGTCCCTCCTTGTTCCTGATGTAGATCTTCACTCACCTCTTTTTCCCAGGTGGGGAAGGGGATGCCATTTTGTGTTTTTTCCTCAGATGCCAAAATGTCTCTGAGGATAGATGATTCTGAACCGTCTCCATATGGGGTGGGTGGGTGATCAGATTGTTAAGTCAGTAATTTCAACAGAACCCCTTGCTGGACAGAGGCATACCCGGAGTCCTGCAGGACCGTTTTGTTAATTTTAATTAATATTGCTAAGGCTATCATTTGGGAGAGATCAAACTGTTGATTGCATAGCAAAGTAGATGTGCAAAGATCCTGTTCGCTACTTGTAATTACAAACATCACAAAATACAACATCAAGAAAACCAACATAATGCAACATCAGTAGAACCAACTGTCTCTTAAAGCTTTGTTTATATTCATTTATTCCAGTTCTTTCACAAAGTAATTGATGGGATTTGTGGCCGTGCATACCCTCGATATCAAGACTATAACACTATTTGGAATTTGACAGAATGGATGGAGGTTCTAGAACAAACCTCGGCATATTTCAAAAGTACCGTTGCCAAAGATCGCTCAGATGAAGAGGTATCCATACTTGTTTTGTGACTTTGTAAATAAAGACTCAGTATTGCTATTCTAATTTAAGTAATAACATAAACTGTTATGAGAAAGTTATAAGCAGAGCCTTTGTGTATCTGCAACAGGTATCTACTTCAAAATTAAGCAGAGTTAAGTTCAATTTAATTAAAACAGATTATACATTAGTACTTCAGCCAGTGTATTCTGTAATTCTTATAGATTATGAAAAGAATCTAATGAAGTTTAATATGTCTTAAATCTTTCATTTGGGATAATGTTCTGTTAAAGACTTTTCTTCTCAGATGTATTAACCTACAGCTGGTAAAACACGTTGAGCTGCCTGTACTTGATTTTTATTCCTGAAATGGTTACCATTTTTCTGATTTTGATTTGATGCTCTAGAACATCTCTTACTCTGATAGCGAACCCAGTTGGCGAGTGCCAACATAAATGAAGCCAAAATGGGGGCACTGAGAAACAAGAGGGAGGTACTAACATGCATGGGGAACCCCCAAGGTTTTCAGAAGTAAAAATAATAGTAGGTATATATTTTAAGAAACCCCAAAATGAAAGTGGGGGGAGGGAAATTACCCCAACAAGGAGTGCATTGCCATAATTGTACAGCCAACAACCACACAGTCATTCCACTGCTACATGATTAGAGGACTTATAATCAGATGATCAGGGACCATGAAACAGCTGGAAAGAGGGGGTCAGGTGCAGACACCTGCAGCCAAACCAAGCAGCTTTGTGTTTGCCTCCTCCTGCACTCCCAGGTTGGAGTTTTGCCATGCACTGCTGGATGCCATGTTATTCCTAGCCTGCATTTCTTACAGTCTGCCATATAGTCATTTTCTCTTTCAGGCACTTCCCTACACCATAGCTTTGACAAAGGGGAGGCAGTTTAGGATTTCACAGCTGAGCACATGAAGGATTTTGCGAGCCCAGCTGCTTGTTGCTGGTTATTAAAGCAGTAGGAGAGGAGCAGCCCTTGCCTGCGTATCGGTGGTACCCAGTTGCATGTGGTCCTCAGCTGCAAGACTGAGGCCCATATTTTAGTCAGTACTTAGAGTAATGGTAGAACTGGCGTAATATAGGCATTCTGGTGGTTTTGATTGTGCCTACAAAACAGACACAGAAATGATGTGGTTTTAAAAAAAATGACTCTTGTATTTACAAATACAGTGGTACCTCGGGTTACATACGCTTCAGGTTACAGACTCCGCTAACCCAGAAATAGTGCTTCAGATTAAGAACTTTGCTTCAGGATGAGAACAGAAATCGTGCTACGGCGGCGCGACAGCAGCAGGAGGCCCCATTAGCTAAAGTGGTGCTTCAGGTTAAGAACAGTTTCAGGTTAAGAACGAACCTCTGGAACGAATTAAGTACTTAACCCGAGGTACTGCTGTACAAACAATGCCAATTGTTATCATACAGTCTATTAGGTTTACGTTTTTTTTCCCATTTTTGTTTTGTTTTGTAGGCACTTCAGCCATTGGACGAGCTGAGTTCTGACACTCAAAAAGCTGTGGTGACTTGCTTGAAAGGCAGGAAACATGACATCAGGCATGCCCTGATTGAAAGAACAAACGGCATCTGTTCGGCACGCCTCCTGGATTTTGACTGGCAGCTGAAGGTTAGGCTAACAGTTTCATTCCCTGCTGTATAAGACTGCTAGATCAAGGGTAGCCAAACTGTGACTCTCCGGATATTGCTGTACAGCAACTTCCATCAACCCTGAGCATTGGCTACAATGGCTGGGGCTTATGGGAGCTGGAATCCAGCAGCATCTGGAGGGTACCATGCTAACTATCTAGACAAATATATGTGGTCTATGAGACTTTGAAACAGACTATGGCAGATCAACTGAGGGGAGAGGAGGCAGCCTGAGGTTCCCCATCTCTGCTGTATAGTATGTAGTAAAGGTTCCAAACAATTGTTAATAAACGGTTGGTAGAATCATGAGAGTTTGTTTCTCGTAAGATTGAGATGAGCCATAGAAAGGACGTGGGCTATTATGTATTATGCCAGGAGTTGGCAAGGTTTACCTCGCCTGGGCTGGTTCTCTCCAGCAGAGATCCCTCCGTGGGTTGGATCGTGCACACCTACGATTTCCAGCATCTGTGCAGACGTGATTTCCAGTGCCGCGGAAGCAAGTCCCTGCGCCATGCTGGTTTAGCGCAGCGCGTGGGGACTCGCCAAGTAGGCGGCTCTGTTCGGGGGTGGCTTCTGGGGCAGTTAAACAAACCCCGTGGGCCGCTTGTGGCCCATGGGCCTTAAGTTGCTGACCCCGTCTTATGCAATAAATGAACAATGTACATAATACAGCATTTCTTCACTCTCCTGAATTGGACTGCTTTACAGCATATTTACTGTATGGCATAATACGTTATAGCAATGTAACATGCCAATATAATCTACAATTCCCCTTGGATTATATATAGAACATTCAGGTTGTTTATGAGATCTGCATAAGAGGATCTGTGTTAAATCTATTATAGTAGTTTGGTCACGTTAATGAGAATTATGCAGCTAGCAGTTTGCAGAACATCTGGCCATCATGCAAAATGTTTGCTCAGAAGAGTGATTACTCTTCTAATGTGCTTCTGCTTGCTTTGCTGTGGTTATAAATTGCCTCTTGCTTAAATTTGTTCTGGAAGCCATTATATAGAGAGAGGTGTTTTTTTGGTGTCTTATTGGAGTTCTTAAAAGCGTTATTTGTTGAATGTGAACATTTTAGCAGGAACCTAATTGAGAAATTGTGAGCCTTTAATCTGTAGCCACACACGACTCTTCATTTCTGAAGGGCTTGCAACTTTTCTTTATGGCTAAGGTTTAATTTTTAAATCTGGTTAATCTGAAGTTCTTTTCCCCCTCTGGCTAATTTGAGTTCATTATGTGTGCGTATTTTCAGCCTTTGTGAACAATACCTACAGCCAGACCACCTTCTGTACCTTCAGGTATATATGTTGATTATAAACCCCATCAAACATTTTTGCATCCAAACCCTAAAAATACCTCCTTAAAAGTGAGACCCTTTGAAGTCTATGGGAGTATTTGTTGGCTTTTTGTTCTTGAAAGTATGCTTATGACAGCGACTGAGCAGGCTGGAGAGGCATATATGGTTTGACAGGTTGTATTAGCACTGCCAGGGACGCGGGTGGCGCTGTGGGTAAAACCTCAGTGCCTAGGACTTGCCGATCGTATGGTTGGCGGTTCGAATCCCCGCGGCGTGGTGAGCTCCCGTCTTTCGGTCCCAGCTCCTGCCCACCTAGCAGTTTGAAAGCACCCCTAAGTGCAAGTAGATAAATAGGTACCGCTTTATAGCGGGAAGGTAAACGGCGTTTCCGTGTGCTGCGCTGGTGCTGGCTCGCCAGAGCAGCTTCATCACGCTGGCCACGTGACCCAGAAGTGACTTCAGACAGCGCTGGCCCATACGGGCAGTGGTACCTTTATTAGCACTGCCAGTGAGTACTGTATTAGTACTGCCAGTGACAAATCGCAGTGAATCCTGGAAACCAAAGAATTACTCTGATGGAGTAAGAATGTTTTCTGAATAGATAGTCTTGCTTTATTATGGATTATTCCTTGCTAGGTTGGGATAAGCAATGTATTACACATGGACAGCTTCTGTCTGGCCAAGGTTTCTTTCCTGAGTGCTTCTATACTGCCTTGCTAAGGACATAGTATCCAAGCCCAGCTGATTCCATAATGTGTGGAGTTTTGTGGGTTATACTGGGGATCCTATCCCCTGCTATATTTTTGGCAGTTCTGCTTCACAACAATCTATATGTATAAATATGAGTTAGTGTATTTATTTAGGATACATACTGCTCTTCAACAACAAGGCAAGACATTCTCAAACTGTACAAGGTGGCTTACAATCTTATTTCAGTAAAGTTTCCATAGCAGGGGTGGGCTTCCACAAGTGTATTCCCCACCCTAGAACAGAGGAACAGATCCATTTATGATACTTGGGCTCTGGCTGCTTTGGCCTTGGTAGATCTGGGGGCAGATTCCTTTCTGCAAATCTGAGGTTAATAACTGTGTCTGCATTGAGGGCTCTCTCATCACACAGCAATTCCTAGAGACAGCTCACCAGATGGCAGCTAGAATTCTCCTAGAAGAAGACATGTTGCACAGTGGTGCCTCGCAAGACGAAATTAATCCGTTCCGCGAGTCTCTTCGTCTTGCGGTTTTTTCGTCTTGCGAAGCACGGCTATTAGCGGCTTAGCGGCTATTAACGGCTTGGCGGCTTTAAGAAAAAGGAAACAAACTCGCAAGAACTCGTCTTGCGAAGCAAGCCCATAGGGAAATTTGTCTTGCGGAACGACTCAAAAAACGGAAAACCCTTTCGTCTAGCGAGTTTTTCGTCTTGCAAGGCATTCGTCTTGCGGGGCACCACTGTAGTTGCTCTCTTCCCTTGCCAATATCAGTGGGGGAACTCTTGGCCTCTATGTTTTATTGTCGCTTTTAAAAAGTCAAATTCACATCCTTTAACTGGGTTATTTCTAGAGGAAATTTCACTCCAGCTGATTTGAAACCTGTGCATTTGCTCCATATAGAAAGCTGCTCAGATCTTTGTTGCTGTTGTTGTTTCTGATTCATTTTTTTTGGTCCAGGGTTCTCGGTTATAGGAGGATACCCTGAATGTACATCTTCATGACTATATAGTTAGTATAAAAAACTTTTTATCAGCCTTTCAGAATCCGCTCACTGTGTTGTAAAAGTGCTATCATAACTGGCCTAAGCTGTTTTCCCCCCTAATTATTCTCCTATATAGCTTGCCCTCTCTAGTGATAAACTATCCATGCTGCAAATGCCGCTTCTAAACCTTGATCTGGATTTGGCAGAGAATGGTAACCTCAAGCCGTACTCCATAGAAATGAATAAGGAAGAGCTACAGAACTTAATAAGTTCACTGGAAGCAGCCAATAAGGTGTGTATCCCATTATTTTAGAAAGCTGAAATTACCCAAATGATTATTCTGATAAAACTAGCAACAGTTATTTGTATGCAAAGAGTACACTTTATGGGATGTATCCAACAAAGTTGTCTGTTGGTGCAAGGACGTCTGCCTGTGCAACAGGATGTCCTCTCCCTCTCCTCTTCCTGCCTGCCTCTTGCCCTCCCCATTTGCTCTGCAGGGCTGGAGGAACCCACATTGGGGGGCACAGGGAGAGGAAAAGGAAATCCTCTTGCACAGATTGAAGTCCTTGTGCCAATAGGACAACTTTGCTGGGAAAAAGCCCTCATTATGTAATAGGAACCTTATCTGTGGCTAGGAGAGACTTCTTTAGGTCATATCAGTTAGAAGATACTTGTCTTAGGACAAGGATGGGGAACCTGTGGCCCCCCACAACTTAATTCAAATGCAGTGGGAAGGCTTGCTAGTGTTAGCAGTGGGGTTATTCAGCTGTCTTTAATTCAAAATACTTCACTATGGGTGGCAAGATCTTTGGAGTCCCTTTCAGTTCTGACTTCCTGCCCTTGTTTGTTGCCTTGGAAATGTCTCTTCTGGCAGAAAGTGCTATGAAAGTGAAAGCCTACTATTTTTCAAGTGGAAGAAGATTACCAATCCACCCCTTAGTTGTGTGAAAGCCATTAGAGACTTATTTTATCCTTTAGATGAGAAGACAAAAAGGCAAAAAATGTGTGGGTGTAAGTTTGAAATGTATTCAAACATTTTAAAAGGCTGTGTAAGCTGTTGTCTGAGCATGAGAACCTAAATAGTTGTTACACGTTGCTACTCAGACTTACTGCTTCCAACTTTTGTATTCCTCTTGAAGGTTGTTCTGCAGCTGAAATGATTCCAGCATCAGAGGTGTCAGTGATAAGAAAATAGATGTGTATTCTTCAAAACAAAAGGAACTGAAATGCTTCTGAAGTGCTGAGGTTGACGCATTAAAGTGAGAGACGGAAAGATGTTATTCATAATCTTACTGAGAGAACAACTCTTGATCTCTGCTAGGCCAAAATAAATGCAAAATCGCATTGTGGCTAACTGGTGAACATAACTTTGATAGACTGCTGCATTTCTGAGAAGTTTTGAGTGCCATTTGTTGGAGATCCTGAAGAAAGGGTGGACTTTGTCTTATCATGTTACTAACAAGCAGCCAACAGTTACCTGAAATAACTTGATGCAAACATTCCTTTTCTTCTTCTCTTGGGATTTATGTAACTACATTGCAGACTAGGACTGTGAAAACGATTTTATACTCAAAGACACAATTTGCTGTTATATTTTGGAACTGCATAAAAAGAGGTTTTGTTTTGCAGATTGAGCTCTGTTAAACACAATAGAATGTGTCTACAATAAAGTGTAGTGGATTGAACATGGCTATCACCAGACCATTTTAAGCATTCTACCTAGCTGTAGCTTGTAATGTGCTTCTGTGTGAAATAAATTGATTTCTCTTAAATATTAAAGTCGGGCTGTAGTTTAAGCCTACACAACTACTCCTGATTGGTGTGATCTAGCTGATATATGCTTATCAGAATAATTGCTGGTAGACTAAGTGAGTACATGATGTCAGCCCATGATTGCAAACAATAGACTCCAAGAGTTTGCACTATAAACTATATGTATCTATGTAACCCACTAAAGAAAGTTATTGAAAGAAAACTTCCAAAGCACTTGACTTTTCGCCTTACAAAGCACCCTACACCATTCTGAACTAGTTCAAAGAAAGTCAGTGCTTTTTTGTGAAGGCCATGGGAATTTGCCTTGAAGGTTTCTGTCTGCAAAGAGCCGCCATCATATGATGGCCTTTGATATTGCACTTGTTTTGTTGTCTCTGTAAACCCTAACTTACCTGTGAGTTGGTCTTTCAGTTGGCTGCAAAGGTATCTGGGTAGATGGATAGTGCCACACTTCTCTTAAGATTTTCATTTGTGTATCCATTTTGTTGAGAATTAGAGAAAAGACTCACAAATTGGCGAATAGCTATAGTATTGCTGGAATAAGTAATATATCATTTCCTATATACAAAATGCTTCTGAGTTATAGAGAAGATCCATTATTACCACGTGTTTCTACACAAGTACTTCAATGCCAGTATGGAAAGGAGTATTTTTCAAATGCTTAAAGTGTCTGTATGATTGACTGATAAAACATGACCTGAGAAGAGATGTAGCAATATCATTTTTTCATGAGTTTTTTTTTTAAAAAGGTATGGGGAACAGATTATTCATGGTTTTATTTACACACACACACACACACACACACACACACACACACAGCCTCATAATGCATGCTTGAAATATCCATATAAAATTTCAAGCTGTACAATGGAATTTTTTTAAAAAAATGTTTATTTGGTTACTAGGAATACATCAGCTAATGAAATTTACATTTTATTACATTTTCAGAAGCTATGAAAACCGGTTTAATGATAAAACGTAAATAATGCTACTTCGTTTGCATCTCTCCCCCGTCCCCCGCTCATTCCTGCGGCATTTAAAAGGGAAGTCCGGAAAATAAAATACTGAGTAAAAGAACAAGGGGATGGTAGTTTCTGTACTACAGCAAAAAACAAAAGACCCCCACAATTTCTCTGAGTACTGTGTTTCAGAATTGATTTTTTTTTCTAACATACATAAAGACTAAAATCAAAATATGTGAAAAATCAACGTTGGGACTGGGGAAGGGGAGTGAGAGAGGGCACCAGGCACGTTGACACTTCTAAAAGGAGAGGCTGAAAAATCTTCATAGTTAAAGGAACAGCCATATATGTGAACCTGAATGTTATGTTGCATCCGGTATGTGGATGAACAAATAGTCCATTGTAAATGAAGAGCGTGGTATAAAGAAGGATGGCTCTTGTGCAGCTTATTGGATCAGAATGATGCAATCCTGGGCCATTTTAAAGATCTGCAATCTGACTATGCCCCTGATCAGTCTGTGATGTTGCAGTGAATGGTCAGTACTGTTGAGACCTGGGTCCATATCCTTCCGTGGTCATGAAGGTCACTGGATGGGTTTGAGAAAGTTAGTAAGTTAGTATTTATCAACCTGGCTTGTCTTGTAGGATTGCTGGGAGGATTATCCCAGGTGTACACTGCAAAAAGGTAAAGGTACCCCTGACCGTTAGGTCCAGTCGCAGACGACTCTGGGGTTGCACGCTCATCTCGCTCTATAGGCCGAGGGAGCTGACGTTTGTTCACAGACAGCTTCCGGGTCATGTGGCCACATAGCTGTCAACTTTTTCCTTTTTTTAAGGGGAATTCTATTTGGAATAAGGGAATTTCCCTTTAAAAAAGGGAAATGTTGACAGCTATGTGTGGCCAGTATGACTAAGCCGCTTCTGGCGAACCAGAGCAGCGCACCGAAATGCTGTTTACCTTCCCGCTGGAGCGGTACCTATTTATCTACTTGCACTTGATGTGCTTTCGAGCTGCTAGGTGGGCAGGAGCTGGGACCGAACAACGGGAGCTCACCCCGTCGCAGGGATTCAAATGGCTGACCTTCCGATTGGCAAGCCCTAGACTCAGTGGTTTACACCACAGCGCCACCCGCGTCCCTGTGCACTGCAAAAGTGTATACTAAAAATGAGAGAAATAGGTGAACACAGGCCATCATTTTAATATAAGGTGCAATTTAGGATTGTTTTGTAAATAAGCAATTCTAAGCTACAAATGGCTGTGATTACAAGGAGACCCAGTTAGCCACATGAAGATTACTTTGAATGCCACTCCCAACTGCGTGTTGGTTTAGAACAAGCAGAATGGCTTCAAAAAGTGAATACTGTCTGCTTAACAAGGATCATGATCCATTAATGTTTAGGGAGCAAGCAAATGTGCATTCACTTTGGTGGCAAATAAGCAACATATGAAAGGTGGTGAAGAAATATAGCTTGTTTTTGTCTTGGTTGAACTAACCTCAGTTCTCCTAAGGCTGTTAAAAAAGTGCCCTTTCTGTGCAGATTCATATTTTCTTGGATATGGGTGCTTAGCCTGTTTATCTGCAGACACTAGATACTACAATGTTAAGTACTTCACACAATGTAAGTTATGGGGTGACAAATATGATAGACATAGTTTATTGAAAAGGATGGTTCCTCTGTCACACAGCCGTTATTCTTGTGGGTTTCTTTTGCCATGATGCGTGGCTTACAAAATATGTACAAAATAAGCCCCTCCCCCAAAGCAGTGTTTTGAATGAAGGCTGCAAGAACAAGGTCACAAACCAGGGAGTTTTCTGGCACCAGCCCATCATTGCTGGACAGAAAGGTGTTTTCCGCACGTGTGATCATTTCTCAGGAGTGTCGTCTTGGCCAAATCACAGCACCTGCACACTGACTTTTGTTATAAACAGAGTCCAGTATGCATGTCAAAGGCAAAAATCTAGCACAAATATTAAACATTGAAAACTTTGTTTAAACAAAGGATAACACTGTTTAGCTGTTGCAAGGTTTAGAAGAAAATTTCACAAATGCTGCTATGGAACACACTGCTTTTTCTTGTTTTGCAGTTTAGCTTTTAAGATCGCCAAGAATGAACTTTGCACCTCAAAGTAAAAAGATGCCACTGCTCTGTTGCAATGAATGAGAACTTAGCAAGAGTAAATGGAGCTTGCACAGGAGACCTTCCTGGTGACCTTTGTCCTATACTAGATCAGTTGAATCAGCATATGAAAATAATCACAGTATTGTGGGCTTTACAGGTTTTTTCCCCAAAACATACAAAAATGTACAGTTACTCCCAGAAAACACCTTTGGAAAAATATTTGAAAGAACATTTGTGTTGACAGCAATAGAGTCTAGTGCTACATTATGCAGGATGTGCAAAAACAAACAAACATGCAGTTATATACAGTAAGGAAACAGAAGCCTAACAAAAATTATAAAAGGCGCACACTCTAAAAAGTTAAGACGTGGGATGTGTAAAAAGCAAGTACATAAATTCACATTGCATTAACAGATCAGGAATTTTAATCAGAAAATGCAGCATATCTGTATACAAAATAGAAAAGTTAATCATAAAAAATTAGTCTATTTTTCCTCTCTTGGCATTTTGTTGATTTTATTTCCTAGAAATCTTTCCTTTCGTTTTAGAAAACAAATATTTAAAGGGATCCTTTTAGCAAGTGAACTCCAGAAACTGCATGTATAAAAGCTCTTTCATGTCGAATAAATGGTTTGGAAAATGTGTTTGCAATGAAAATTCAGCTGGAATTTATAAGTTTTTATGAAAAATTAACTCAAAATATTTCTTTAAAATACGTAAATGAGATTGAAACGAGCCACAGAGAAAGGCTGCCCCCCACCTTCTTAAGGAGATTCTGTAATGTGTGTAATTGTATTAGGGCCTTGTTTTTATTAGACAAATTCAAAAATGAAAAACAGTTACTTGGAAATAGTTCATTTGTTGCTGGAAGTGTGTTTTGATGACCACATCAGGCTGGTCAGGAACAATTGAAAGTTGTGAAACTGGCTTGGGGAATATAATCTTGGTGTGTAGATGTTTTAGATAGATTTGAACCACCGTATTGTGGTTCATCTCTGCCTTTGGATAAGAGTTTCACCTTCATGGCCTCATCCTAGTAGCCTAACATCCTAATGGACACCTAATGCTCTAAATTGTTTAGGCCAAATTTTTAGATTTCTTGTGGATTGAGGCCTGTAGAGTTCAGATACGTTGCCTCAGATTCCATCCCTGATATATTTCCATTATTAATCAGCTGCTCAAGCCACAACGGCAATCCTCCCCATTTCATTTTTAATTAGTTGGCAAGTTTATACATAAAAGGTTTATGCAGTTGTTCTTCAAGTTACTTAGCAAGTACTGTACAAGGTCAACCCAAGCTATCCTGGCTAACAAGGAGGTTGCACCAGGCTGATTCACTGGTGTCTGAAGGCACCAATGGTAGACCAAGAGTAGTGATGGAAGACCGAGAAAGTCTCCATCATGTGCAAATGCAACCAGGTGCCAAATGGGCAGCTCTATGCTTATGCAAGGAGGTCCTGATCGCTTAATGATACGACTTGATAGGAATATAAACCATCATACTGCAACCTGTCTGCACAACTTGTGACCCACCAAGCTGTTTAGCCAAGAACCTGATAGACCTCAAATTTTGCTGCCTGCCTGTGACTGCATAAAAAGGTAGGATTATTGATACAACCTGTAGGCTTAGCAGAACATAAGCTGTAGAGAACTGACTGCAGGACAAGCCAACATGGTGCCCTCATTTTTGGACATTGGCAACTGGGGGGCACTGTATTGGTTACCACCACCCTACCCTACCATGTTCTACTGTGTGCGTTCATGTAGATGAAAATGTATTTGCAGCAAAAGGAATACAGAGCAGATTATTGACCAAGAACAAAGCTTCATTTTATTGTTCCTTCCACACGCTAATAAAACTATATAATCAATGTTTTCGTATATTCTTTCCTCCTTCAGTTCTACTACCCTATATTTAATGTGTCTTGTTCCTTTTTTATGCAAGACGGGTAATTTCAAACGTGGGACTCTCACATTCAAGCAATGGTTAAACAATTTCACAGAATGTATGCTGTAATGACTTGCTGGGTTTACATATTGGGTGAATTGCCACCTGACTCCCTAATGACTCATTCAAGAAATGGCACAAGTAGATTTACCACCTTGTTATCTGTGGCAAGGGACGCGGGTGGCGCTGTGGGTAAAAGCCTCAGCGCCTAGGGCTTGCCGATTGAAAGGTCGGCGGTTCGAATCCCCGCGGCGGGGTGCACTCCTGTTGTTCGGTCCCAGCGTCTGCCAACCTAGCAGTTCGAAAGCACCTCTGGGTGCAAGTAGATAAATAGGGACCGCTTACTAGCGGGAAGGTAAACGGCGTTTCCGTGTGCGGCTCTGGCTCGCCAGAGCAGCAATGTCACGCTGGCCACGTGACTCGGAAGTGTCTCCGGACAGCGCTGGCCCCCGGCCTCTAGAGTGAGATGGGCGCACAACCCTAGAGTCTGTCAAGACTGGCCCGTACGGGCAGGGGTACCTTTACCTTTACCTTTATCTGTGGCAAAATGATGTATCTCTCATGGAATTAGCTGATAAGATATACGCTTTTGTATGATTTCATATCTGCAGAGAAAATGTTAGATAAAGCCCATTACTGATTCTAGTCAGGGTAGACTTTTTAAAAGGACATTTCTGCTATGTA